GCCCACGTGCACGGCTGCGCGTCCCCGCGGTTTCCGCACACGTGGCCGCCGCTTCCTGCGGGGCGAAGGGGAGGACGAGGGGGGGGTTGGGGGGAAGGGGGGGGCGGTGCCCGACGGAAGGGGCCGGGACGGGTGCTGGCGCTGCGGAGGGGGCGGCTGCGGGGAGAGATCGGAGGGGCCGGAGGTATTTGGGGGGTGACAGGTTATAGGGGTGCTCATAACCTCGCCTCACCCCATAGGGGTGTCAGGGGGGTGGGGTGCAGCAGCAGGCTTGCACGCCGTGCTGGGTGCGCGGAGGGAAGGGTTGGGGTGCGCAGGGTGCTGGGGGTGCGCAGGGAGCAGAGCGGGGCGCAGCAGCACGTGGTGCTGGGGGTGCGGGGCGAAGGGTTGGGGTGCAGCGGTTTGCACGTGGTGTGGAGGCGCAGCGGGGTTTGCAGAGGCCTCGGATGCACGGGGTTGGGGGTTTGCAGGGGTGCGGGTTTGCAGGGGGTGCGTGCAGCCGTCCTCAATGTCCCTGTCCCACCCCCAGGCCCCCCCCCGCCCCCCGGTGCCACCCTGGCGCTGCGCCCTATGGACGGCGTTTTTCTCTCTCCCAACGAAGATGAGTTCGTGGGGAGGATCGCGGAGGAGCTGGAGCAGTTCATGCTGCAGGGGCAGCACCACAGGTAGGGGCGTCAAAATGTCAGGGCTCTGTTCTGCGTCGGCCCCACGGCGCTGCTGGGAGCACTGGTAGCTTTTGCAGCCTGGCTGTGGAGTTGGACGCCGTGCTCCCATCCTTCCTGGCCGTGTGTTTGCTGCATCGTTTTGCTCTGTCCAAACTTTGAGTTGGATCTCATTCCTGATGTCTGACAGCCCTGAAATGGCCCAAAATGGGGGGGGGGGGGTTCAGCTGGGATGGGGTTGCTTTGTTCAGAGATCCCATCAGCTGCCAGTGACCTTCAGCGTTTGTTTGATTGTTTCTTTTGAACGTTTGCCAGAGGTGGCACCAAGGCAGCTGTGAAATGGAATAAACCATAACAGAAAACCCATCTGAGTGCCGTGCATCCAGCACAGGGTTGGTTCAACCATTCATATTTTAGCTGCTGGCTTCTGCGGTGCATTCAGGCTGGAAGAAGAAGTTGCAGCTTCATGGGATGAGGGCAGAGATGAGAGTCCTGGTTCTGGACAGAACACGTCTGGATGGAGCCTTTGGGCTCCTTAATACCAGGAAGGCTTTAAGGCACAGATCTAAAGCCCAACACCTGGAGTGACTTGGGGAATAAGAGCCAATAAATACTTGCTGCATTCTTCTCCCTTTCCTTCCTCTGCCTTCCCAGGGTGCTCCTGTTCCCCCCCCTGTCCAGCCGCCTCCGCTACTTGATCCACAGGACTGTGGAGAACGTGGATTTGCTGAGCAGCTTTTCGGTTGGGGAAGGATGGAGGAGGAGGACGGTCATCTGCCACTCAGCTGTGAGGTTTGTGATGGTTTGTGGGGCTCTGGGGTTGTTATTCCACCTTTGAAGCATGGCCTCTGTTATTCATAGCATTAAGGGAGCAGGGAGCATAGAGTGGCTGAAATTGGAAGGGACTTCAAGGATCATGAAGCTCCAACCCCCCACTGCAGGCAGGGCCACCAACCTCCACATTTAATATCAGCCCAGGGCTCCATCCAGCCTGGCCTTGAACACCTCCAGGGATGGATGGGGCATCCACAGCCTCTCTGGGCAGCTGTTCCAGCACCTCACCACTCTCATAGCAAAGAACTTGTTAGAGTTAAGAGTAGCAGTGCTTACTGCCCTAAGGAGCTCTATAAATGATGGGATGCAGCATCACTAATGATGGGAAAAAAAGCATTTCCGTGTAACCTTATACATTTGTGTCAGGACAGAGGTGAGCTGAGGGAATAATTGTGTCCTTTGGTTGGTAAGTTGCTATGCTGGGTATCTGCTATTCCTTATTCTGAATGGGTCAGGTTGGAATGTTAATGTATCACAGAGTAGGCTGTACTCTGTCTCCTGTCCTAACAGGAGAACACAGAAGATCCCAGCAGAATTCAGGCATGAACTCGTGTTGACCTATTAAACATAATGAAAAACAAAGCCTCAGTGCTTTGGCCAACACACAGCTCCTGCATTTCCCCCTGTTCTGCACACGTTGTGCTTCTCCTGCTCACACCTCGCTGTTTTCTGCCCCCAGGATTCCCAGTGAGACCAGTGAGCAAAACCCAGCTGCCTCCGCACCGCGGCCGCCCCGACCCACGCAGCCGTGGGGCCGTGGATCACGGGGGGCCCGGCTGAGGCACGGCGGGGATGGGCATGGGGACACATCCCGAGCCTGTGTGGGGTCAGGCAGGATCAAGAGGCCGCCCCGGAGGAAGCCTGATAAAGCCCTGTATGTCCCCAAGGCGATGCGTAAGAAGGCGGAATGGGGGGAACAGGAGGTGGGCGCCGATGGGGCGCGAGAAGGGGAGATCTGCCCCAAAGCTGCACTCGAGGGGGAGGCTGAAGGCAGCCCCGAACCCAACGCAGCCATCGGTGGTGTCTGTTTGGTGCTTGATGAGCAGCACGAGGCTGGAGAGGAGTCAGGAAGAAGCAACGATGGCACAAATGGCGACCGTCCTCCACGCTGCACTGATGGCCCCTTCTTAGAGAGCAGCCAAGGTTCCTCTGGGCAGCACAGTCAGGATAAGGACTGTTCAGATTCCCTGTCTTCCACACCCAACGAAAACCCAGCTGAGCCAGAAGAGCAGAACAAGAGCTGTGACAACGCCGTTGGACCAGAAGGCAGCAAGACTCCGTGCCAAGACCAAAAGAGCCACAATAATGATGTTCCGGGGTCCAGCAAGAGCTCCCACCTATTGGGGGAGCGCTGCTCTGATGCCACGTTGGTGCTGGAAAACCAAGAGAGGAGCTGTGCCATGAGCCTGGAGAGCAGTGGGAACATCTCACTGCAAGGTGAAGATGTGGTAAACCCAGTGTTGGAGCTGGGCGAGGGTCCCTCTGGACCAGAAAGTGAAGATCGGGAGAACTGCAGCGATGCCCAAAAAGAGCCCACCCAACACCAGACCCCATTGGAAGCACGTGGTGAGGCCATGCTTGTGTCTGAGCCCATTGGTGGTGCTGGCCCATTGGGTCCCAGTGAGCAGGAGGAGCACGGGGTGGACGTGCCCGTGGTCAAGGATGAGACCAGGGAGCCCATGGGCTTGGCTGATGCTTTACAGCATGAGCTGCGGTTGTCCAAAGGGAACAAAGAGGAGAACGTGGCCACCCAGAGCCGGGAGCTCGCCTTCGAGGATGACTGCACTGCAGAGCTCCTGCAGGAGGTAATGCATGCCATGGGGCACTGCCTTTGTGTTACTTTGGGGTTAAGAGGGCGTTCAGGGGTTGTCCCCAAAGGGAGACGTCGGTGTCGGGCTCTGTAGTTGTCTGCTCAGCCTCTTGGACCCTCCGTGGGTTGGTGGGACCCTGCAGGATGGCTGTTGGCCATGAAGTCCCATCTGATGGGTGCCCAGCGTGAGCTTTCAGTCCGTTACCTGCAGCGTGTTGCCTGTATTTGGGTGTTGCATTGGGTCAGGATGCTCAGCACTGGGAGCACTTGATAGGAACACTGCCCTGGTGGTTCCACCACCATCTTCTTGGTCTGTGAGTCTTTGCTGTGATGATAACTCTTTTTTTTTTTTTTTCCTGTACTGTTCCCAGATTGTGGGTCATCTCACCGTGAAGGACATCAGCATCGAGAGGATCACGCTGGATTATTCCAGCTATGGTGACACGCAGGTCCACGAGGGGGATTTTGGGCACATAACCGAAATCTACGACTTCTCCCCATCACTGAAAACGGAGCACCTGATGGAAGTGTTCTCAGATTTCCAGTGAGTGCCTTTTGGAGGGGCATGAAGCAAGCAGTATTCAGAGCTGAGTGCACAACAGGGTGTGATGATGCTGTGCTGGATTTTACCCTCATCTCTGTGCTCTTACTCCTTATGCTCTGTGCTTTGAAGGATGTTTTCCTGCAGTTTGTGACTGGAAGCGTTCTTTGAGGCTCTGTCAAGCACAATGCTGCCTACCTGCAGGGTTATTTGTGCTGTTCTGGCTTCATTGGGAGCTTCTACCTGCTCCATAGGAGCCTCTTAGCTCTCAGGTCCCAGTGCCTGTGTTGGAATTGACACTTACATAAATGCTTGCAAAAAGAAAATAAAGGGCCCAATCCTGCTGCATGAGATAAGATGTATTATGTAAACATAGGGAGCTGGAGGGGTGACACTGGGTTAGCAGTGGGATCAGAACAAGGTTCTGATCAGTGGGCTCATACAGCTCTCCATGGGGGCTGGATTCATTGGGAGTGCTCATCCCTGTGCTGAAAAGCATTGTTTGCATTCTAAATGAGCTGCTGTCTGCTGTCAGCGTTTCCTCTTAGATGTTTTCCCTTCCCTTTGCTGCGAGAGTGGAACTGAGCTGCAAATTGACAGATCTAATTTGAGCGCTCGATCGTGGTTTTTATTTCCCCTGCTGCAGGGAAAATCTTTGATCTCCTCACTCCCAGCTCGCATTTTCCACTGACACTTTACTAAATAGATTTCTGCTTTGGTCTCTTCATTCAGAGCTTTGCAAACCACTCTGCAAACGAGTTCTGCTTTTCATTGCAAGTGGCTGAGCGCTCGGGTAGTGCTTATAGGGCACTGTGTGCATGGCACTATTGCAGGACAGCCCATGAAATAGAGGCTGCTTGTTGGCCAAGAGCTTCTTTAGGGGAAAAAGAGTCCTTGGGGGAGTCACAGTCTGTGACTGGGTTTAGTTCTGATCCTTTCCCCTCTTTGTGAAATGGGAGCAGTGCTCCCATTGGATGGCAACACCAAATTCTTGGAAACTCAACATGGCTGTGGACTTTACTTGTGTGGCTTTTTCTTCCTGTTAACCAATACTCTTCTATTGTTTTTTTTCATTGTAGTGAGAGTGGCTTCAAAATCCAATGGGTGGACGACACGCACGCCCTGGGGATCTTCTCCAGCCAGTCTGCAGGTGGGGAGCTGTGGGGCTCCTGGGCACGACTTCTGCTTCCCCACACTTTGCTTCTTTGCACATCAAACTTGAGTATCTGTAAGGCGTGTAGTGTGGTAGCTCTGCTTTGCAAGATGAACAGGTTTTTTTAATTGGCTTGGGTAATTATCACTGTTGCATAGTGAGCTGTGCATTGCAGGAAATGGTTTTGTTGTTTCACTTTTTATTGTGGAGTGGCTTGAGTTTGGGAGGACCTGTAAAGGCCATCTGGTCTGATTCCCCTGCAATGAACAGGAGCATCTACAAGTGCTCAGAGCCCCATCCAGCCTGACCTTGGGTGTCCCCAGGGACAGGGCATCCACCATCCCTCTGGGCAACCCGTGGCAGTGCTTTATAGAATAGATCATTAAGGTCACAAATGACTTCTAAGATCATTAAGTCAGCTGTCAGCTCCTCCCCACCGTGCCCATAGAATCGTTAAGGTTGGAAAAGACTTCCACCATCCTCAAGTCCAACCACCAACCCGTCACCATTCACAGCCTGAACACTCACACTCTGTTCTTGGGATTTGTTCCTAATTATCAGAGTGGTCTTTAGAATTTATGTTTCCTTAGAGCTCTTCCTGCCCAAGGAATGGGCGATGTAAGGTGGAGGTGAGCCCTGAGATGAGTTGGCCTTCAGCAGCTCATGGGTTGTGCAGCACTGTGGTAGCATGGGCTGGGTTGTGTGTGATGAAAGCTACCACCATTCCCCTCCTGCTGACTTTGTCCTCTGTTCTTTGAAGCATCTCAAGCCCTGGGGCGGCGTTACCCTTCACTGAAGATCCGACCACTGATCCATGCAACAAAGCAGTCTAAAATTAAGGCACTTCAGCGACCAAGTAAGATGAAAAAAATATATATATCTATATTAATTACTATTTTTTTTAGTTGCCTGTTCTGTGTCCTGGGTGGTCAGTCTCACAGTGACACTGTAAATGGGGAACTACTTACTGGATAGCAGTATTCTTTATTGGCTATGGCAGGGCAGTATTTGCACCCAACCTGTTACATTACATCTTCCTATGCCACTAATGCTGCTTGTTGCTCTGACAGCCAAAATAGCTGCAAATGGGGGCACAGGTGAATGGGAATATGTCAAACATTTGCCCCAAAAGCTCTGCCCTACTCTGCACAATTAAAGACAAACCCCAGAGCAGTTATTTTGTGGTTGGCATAATTTTATTCAGTATCAGGTGAAGAGGAAATGGTTAAGCTTAGCCATTAACATTGGTTTATTTAGTTGATTGCCTTTTAAAATCATACTGTAATCAGGTATACTTGCCACAGTAAAGAAATGCCATGAATCTTGTAGCAGAGAGACTGATGAAGGGACAGCTGTAGTCACTGCATTGAAACAGATGTCAGTATGAATGATTCAAAGGGACACTGTCACAGGTAGAAGTTCCTGAGCTCGATTAAATGTGAAAGAAGTGGTTTGCTTTCACACTTCTCACCTGTTCTCATTCAAATTCTCCATATGTACCCTGCTGGCAGGAGTGGGAATCAGGTTATCAGCTCCATCCACATACAAACCTTGCACTCACTTCAAGTGCCATTTATTTCCAAATGCAGGTTTGGATCTCAATTAGCTGACAGTGTCTCTTTCTTTTCTTTTTTTTTTTTTAATTATTAACAGCTTTTTAAAGAAAGATTGGCAGTTCCATTGTCCAAGCTGTGATGCTCTGAGCCTGCCCCTTTTCCCTTAAGCTGCTGCTAGGCTGCCTTTAGGAATAACATTTCTGAAAAAGCAAGCAAAAGCCCACTTGGCTAACTGGGTAATAATTTGCAAACAGTTGCTGATAAATGATCAGATAGCAGCCAAATCCAGGTTAGTTTGGACTTGGTAAGGTTCTGGTGTATTGCTTTATTGAGGATGAAACTGTAGCAAGCCAGACGTATGCTAGGAAGTGGAGCTCACTGCTCCCTCCTGGCCAGTTTTTTCCTAAAGCATCTGATAGATTTAATTGTTAAAACAAAAAAACAAAACAAAACAAAACAAAAAAAAACAGGTATTTTTCCTTTGGTGCTTTTTGAGGATGGAGGCTGTTGGTTTTGGTGAGCTGGTACTGAGATGAAATCTCTCTCTGTGTGGCCCCGGGGGTTGGATTGTGCCTTTATTTTGTTCTCAGAGAAGGGACTGGAGCTGCAGTGTTCCTGAAAGCCAATTGTGCAGGGTTCCCTGTCACAGAACCTTAAACATACATTAGGGTTGGAAATGACCTCTAAGATCAAGTCAAGCAACCCATCCTCATAGAATCATTGAGGTTGGAAGAGACCACTAAGACCATCAGCTCCAACCATCACAGACCACTAGAGGACCAGAGCTTCTTCATATCTAAATATTGTCACTGTTGCACAAAAACTATTGTACAAAATCTGAAGGAAAGCCTTTCCCAAAGAACCAACAACTTGCTCTGTAGGGGTGGGATGGTTTGCTCACAGTAATGCTCACCCCAAAGGATGACATATAGAAAATAGACACCTGCTCTTGTGCCCTGCACTTAAGCCATAAGACTGCTCCTGACTAACCTTCAGCTTCACCATTTTCACCCTTTTTCACCCAGAACTCCTTCACCTTGCCAAAGAGAGACCCCAGACTGACACGGTGGTGGCAAGAAGGTTGGTGACCCGAGCCCTGGGGCTGAAGCACCAGCAGCAGTGCAGCTCTGGCCCTGAAGGGCTCCTGCCAGAAGGTTTGGACCAGGAGGAGTGAACCATCTCCACTGAAAAAAAACCATGTGTAGATGAGCGTGGCTGTGATATTAAACTGCATGCAGAACAGTGAGTTGCCATGGGGACGTTCTCTTTGCTTTCTGAGTTGAGAAGAGAAAAAGTTGAATGAGATGTTGAGCTCCAGAGCCCTGCAGGTTGCTCTTTGTGCTGGAGAACACCGTGCCCTGCTCTGTTCCAAAGCATCTGTACTCTCTGCAGCACGTAAGGAAGCGTTACTTTGTGTTAAAGCCCACTAGGAATTGTTAGGAGTGCACCAGGGTGAGGGAAGGGCATCTCACTGGCCAACATCCAGGCGGAGCAGAGCATCTGTAGGAGTCAAAAACTCTGTTCAGTGTTTACTCTGTTGTCATGTTGTTGTTAAAATATCCCCCAGTAGTGACAGGCATTGAGGTTCAGGGTTTTTTCCTCACTTAAAAGAAGCCTGCCTGTGTTGTTCTGTTAGAAAGCAAAGTTATTTGTTCATTAGGAGAAGCAAACCAGAACTCAACAGTAGCTCAACTTGCACAGAGCCCAGTGGCAAGGGATGCTCCAAGAGACACCTCGAGTTGCAGCAGCAATAGAGCATCCCCCAGGCTCTGCTTTAGCTGCACTGTCCTGCATCTTGAGAACAAAATGGACTTTTTCCAACTTGAAGTAGGCTGAAAACCTCTCCTCTGTGTCAACATCTTGGATGTAAGAAATACTCCAATAGGCCTTAGCAAGAATTGTCGAGCCTCACAACATCCCTGTGAGGTAGGCTTGTGGGTTGATCCCTGTGGATTGAGATGGTTAATTGGCATTATTCCATTAGTTCTAGCTGCGTGTAGAAGCCTTCTGTACAAACACAGAGGGAGGAGGAAACTTCAGTACCAGGAATTGTGAACGAAGCCCTAAGCTGACGGGGAGTAGAAAATAAAAAGTAGGATTTAAAAAACATATATAATATATATATATTTTTTTCTGGGTGAAACATTTTATTCAAGTAGCTGTGTTGGAAAATCTGTAGCAACGTGTGTCCTCAAACAAACAGAGGAGCACACTTAGCACCATTGTGAACTGACTAAGTGTAAAAAAAAGAAATCCTCAGAGCCAACTTAGGCGGTCAGCTCATCCCCAACGATGCAAGCCACGAAGTTACCTCTGTAAGGTGCAGGGATACAATGCCTTAACTGAATTCATCCTTTAAAAGAGTGAATATCCAGCTTAGAAGGTGACGTGTAGATGGACGTAGGGGCTGCTGGGTGAATTGCTGACTGTGCAGTGGGAAGCATCAATCCTGTGGACTCATCACAGCTTCTGGGTGGTGCTGGAGCTCTGCTGCATGTGCAGGCAGAGTTCTGCATTTGCTGCTCCGTTGGTTCTGGGAGTTGGTTGTTGAATGCAAGAGTTTGGCTGCAGTATTAAATTATGCTTTAGACTGTTCTGCTCAGAAAGAACGCTTCGATGTCGTTTTTCTTTCCTGTGTTTCTTTGCTAAAATGGAGCAGTGGCAGCAGTGCTGAGGACAAGCATCATCACAAATGGAAGAGTATGCGTCAGTGGTGCTTCAGCGCAAGCTTAGAAGTACCAAAATTGGAAGAAAATGAATGGCAAAGACCCATTGAGGTTGTTGATACCCAACCAAAGGCAAACTGTGCTCACTGCAGCCCGGAGCTGTGTACACACACAAAGATGATCCTGCAAGATGGTGGGGGAAGGTTGGAGCCCAGTAGAGTTTGAAAGCCTGCTCCCAACACCCTCAGCAGCGGGGATGGGATTTACAAGAGGTGGTCCAAGCGTTTACACTGGGAAGGAAGGCAGCTTTAGAAAATAATTTACCTTGCTAATTTAGAGTTTGATTGCTTGCTTGATTTTTTTTTTTTTTTTTTTTTTGTCTTGGCGCAGTGGTTGGGGAAATCACCGCAGCGGGAAGCCTCGCTTCTTAAATAGTGGGATGGGAGGCAGTGCTGCTCTATCGGGTGGACACTTTGTTATTTGTGAGTCCGCTGAAGTGATCAAACTTCTGTTCCGTTTCGTCGCTGAAGGAGCCACCTGGTGAGCCCAGAGAACACAGGGGTCAGGCCAAGAGAAGAGGTCAACGTGTCGTGCAGTCGAGGCGCTGCACAACCAGAGCAAGGTGCTACAGCGTACGGGGCCTCAAAGCAAGCACTAGAAGAGCAGGGTAGTTCATGGCTAATTAATTTAAACATTAAGTAAGCCTTGCCATAATTGGAACAGCCAAAGAGTCTTGGGTCTAATTGATGTGTTTGGGAGACTTGGCTACAACCTGTCCTGTTTTCTGCTGATCTTTATCAGGACTGGTAAATGGTCTCCTTGAGGATGAGGGTAAGGGGGGGGTCTGTTTTGCTCTTAAATGGGGCCCTGTCCTCACTTCTTGCTAGTTTGGAGACAAAAGCTAAACGCATTTTTAAGTAAAAGTATTTTCAAGCTCAGCTGCAGAGCTCATCCAGCACTTCGGTGCTCTTTGTCCAACTGGAGCGGGTTTGGCTTTTCGAACTAGGTCATAAGCTGTAATGTGAGATGAGTATTTTCTTCAGAAAAGCAACAAACTAATAAAAAAAAAAAACAGTAAAAACATTCCTTGAGGAACTTCAGCCAACCATGGAAACTGGCTTTGCCATGGGCTTTATTTGGAAGTTGACAGGCAGCTGCTGTTGGGTTACTTTCCATGTTAAAAAACGGTTCAGCCTAGCCTGCAACTTCATTCCATTTTCAAATGGATCTGATGGTTTTTAAGGCAAATTGGAGCCAGTTGGGCTCTGCTGTTCTCTCACCTGTGTGGCAGTTGTACATCCAGATCCGCTGCCCGTCGTACCGACTCCGGCATTTCATCACATTGTTGGAGTAATCAGATTCAGCCACTTCGTAGTTGGGGTTGATGACGACCTGAGGAGTGATGGAGAAACACAGGATGGAGTTAATTGGAGGTGAATGGATGTGAGAGTCTGGGATCAGGCTGGGAGGGAATCGAGCTTTTTCATTGCAGCGTAATCATGGTTGGACCGGATGATCTTAATGGCCTTTTCCAACTTTAATGAGTCTGTGACTGGAACTCATGAGGAAAGCAGGCAGAGGCTCCTTAATTAAAACCAGATCAAGATCACACCTTTGCCCACGCACCAAAATATACCCTCAAACACCTCTCCATTTCACACCATAGCAGTGAAGACCAAAATAATGCCTCCTCCCTTCACTCCTCTGCAGCTCTGGGCTGTTTTTAGAACCAAAGAATTCCCCCCACCTCCTTCCCCTTGCACAAAGCAGGCACAGAACTCCTCCTGCAAACACCCCAAGAAAATAGCATTTCATCCATCCCCAAGCAAAGCAAGCATTGCTTACAAACAACCTCAGAGCTTCGTCCAAGAGAGCGCGTTGCATCCCATGTCACCCATCTGTGTCACTGGCATTAGCTGCACATGGACTATGGAGGACTACCCAACGTTGGCTGCACGTGGGTTACTTAAGACTGACATTCCTGACATCCTACTGAATAAAAAACCTCTTTCCCCATACCTGGAAGAGGTAATCTCCTGGTGGGACGTCGGTGATGTCGATCCATTGGCAGTCGATGTCGTGTCGGTACACATCCCAGCAGCCAACAGTGATCCCTTGTTCGCCAAAATTGGCACATTCGTACTGTTTTTGCACATCTGAGGGAGTTGAAAGCACAGTGTTGGGTTCTCAGGCTGTGTCAGGGGAAGGGCGGGTTGTTCTCTAGCTCCCGTGGGCAGCAATGAGAGCTACAGGCACACGGTTTTGGATGAGACAGTTCAATGCTGCTTTATGTCTTGTATTGCAATGGAGGCACCAGTAACACATGGGAGGAGCTGCCACCTCTCCTGTGTCATCACCCAGAGGCAAGTTTGGGGATTTCTTGCTTAATGGGAACGAGAACATGCAGACTTTGTAAGTAAGAAAGAAGCTGAGGTCTGGCAGCCTCAACACACGGGCTCTGTAGGGTTTTTCTTATACCATAGAGAATAAGGGAACAGGCATACCTGCTTCACATTCGGTGTCTTCCAGACAGAAGCTGGCTTTGTGTCCTTCAGCTACCTTGGTTCCATTGAGGTTCAGTAGATCATAGTGGGTGAAGACCTCCATGCTGTGGTAATGCCTGCAAGACAAAGAAAATTCATTAAGGAAAGCAGCTCTTTAATTAGTGCCCCTCAGGGGCTGCATAGAAACAGTGCAAAGTGCTCGGGAGCAAAAGGAGCAGAAGAAGAGAAACCACAGCCAGGAAACCTTCCCCTGGGCACCATCCTACGTGCTGGCTCCCAGCCCAGGGCTGGTTCACATATCAGGTGCTGAAGCTGCTTCCAGGTAAGAGCCTTCATAGGATCACACATTGTTTTGTAAGGGCAGCAGCAGCCAGGTTATCATTTCTAGTGCACTGTCATCACTACAACAAGAAGCATTTCAGTTGCTTTGTACCAACAGGCTGTAACCAGCACAGGGTGTGCTCAGACCATCAACCTATTTTCCATTTTTTCCCCCTCCTCATAACGAATGACAGATGGAAGCATCTTCTCAGCACTTGCTTCACGGAGAGCTAAACAACACGACAGCTGGCATCACACGCCTTCCATCCCATAGCTTGACATGGGGAGGTGTTAGCATCAACTCAACCTGGGCTGCACTGCCAGCACAAATGCATCAGAGAGAGCACACAAGATGGGCTGTAGACCCATAATTAGCAAGATTAGGCCCACAGTTAGCAAAGTCAGGCACCCTGCTAGTTTTGGGTGGTGCTGGTCTATTCCTTCCACTCGTTCTATGCCACGATGCTGGTTCAGCAAAGCATTGAACCTGCACTGAGGGCAATGGGAAGAACCAGGGTGCAACAAGGAGTCAAGGCTGGGAGCACGAGCGTGGCCATACTGATGGAACATGCTCCATATGATCCCAGCCTTGGGACAGGGAGAAAACCCACAGCACTTGTTGGGAACAGGAGGTCCTGAAACCCTGAGGCACACCATCACCCATCTGTGTGGCTCAGGAGTGAGGCAATGCCCACACAATTCAACGCCAACCCAAATTCAGCAGTGCTGAGCACAAGGCACAGCTCATCTCCTTCCCAGCTGTAAAAATAACTGTGGCTCAAAGCTTCCAGCCCATAGAATTGCAGCACACATTTCTGCAGAAAAAGGGGGCAAGGCTGGAAGGGGAAGAAATGTTTCCTCTAGAGATTAGGTTTCTTTTTACCTCCTTTCCTCTAAAACCAGCAAAACCCAAACCCACCACCTGCCAAAAGTCAATCCCCTCTCACTCCCTGCTATGGTCTTTCCCATTTTTGTTCTGCTCCCACATCAAAAGGCTCCTGAACAGAAGCTCCCAGTGATGGGGTGAGGCAACAGGGAGAGAAGGGACGTTTCCAAGCTGTTGACTTGCGAGCTGCCTCCTTTGGCAGCCTCTGATAGAAGTTTGAGGTCTCCAGTCTGACTCACTTTCTGAAATATGTCTGAATCACTCAAAGAGGTGTTTACTTTCTGCTGTTTACAGACTGGAAAGATTGAAGAGGAATTGAGTTCATCCTCCTCCGTATAAACAGAATCCAGTTTTGAGCACACAGATGGCTCTTGGCCTCTCCCCAATCTCACCTCACTTATGCAGTCTCCCAAATTGCTCCGAAAGTCTCCTTTCCTCACCCCACGATGTGCTCAGCTCCTTGCAGAACCCATATATTCCCCCTTCCAGGGCCAGAGCAGAAGCAGAGGTACTGCACCCATTTGGGTTTCCTCCTCCTGAAGTTGCCATCTCCTGTTTATTTTGGGCTCTCTGCTGCTGAGGTTTTAGCAACACACATCACAAAAGCAACCTGGCTGCCAGGTATGTGCCAACATGTGCCCCATCTGAAGCCCTGCAGCACTGCAACGCTGATGCAGCGCTGCCTCCATCCCACTTTGCTCACATGCTGTTCGTGGAAGAGTGCAAAAGTGGAGAAATTGTTGCTAAAATCTTACAGCAGCGGCAGAACAAAAGCTGTGAGCTGAGTTTCTCAGCTCCCAAATTAGAGAAAAACCAACCCTGTCCCAAACCATCGCTGCAGAACCACAGCATCTGCTCGGTTCCCACTCCCCAAGGTCGGTTTGGTCAATGGACCCAGCAGCACTCACCGATGGCAGTCATGCCAGACCCAAGCATGGCGCCCATTTTTGGGGCGGAAATCCGACTGCCCGTTGTTGTGGATCTGGGAGGAGAAGCGCAGCAGGCGGCGGTACCCAGAGGTGACAGAGGTGTTGATGGCTGAGCTGGCCAAGCAGTTTTCCTCCTGTGCACACTGCAGCATGAACATGGGGCGGTCCTCCAGGTAGGCGGTCTGCTCCACCAGCTCGGCGTTGAGCACCAGGTCGGGGGCAGCTGGTGGGAGGGAGGTGGGAAATGAGCTGATGAGCTCCTAAAACACACCACAGTTTGCTAGAAGTGGGCCCAGCCCTTTCTTTGGTCAGCCCCATCCCGCTCTTGGGGCAGCTCCTTTCCTCCTGTGTATCCCAGGGCGAATACAACAATATGAACTGAAGCCCAGGTTAGGATAGTAAGACACTGATATGGAGCTCAGAGATCTTGTGGATGTCCCATCCCTGGAGGTGCTCAAGATCAGGTTTGATGGGGCTCTGGGCAACTTGGTCTGGTGGGAGGCAACAATCCCATGCTAGGGGGTGGCACTGGATGGGCTTTAAGGACCCTTCCAACCCAACCATTCAACAATTCCATCATTTTTAAGGACCCTTCCATCCCAACCCATCCTATGCTTTTATGACCTTTAAGGACCCTTCCATCCCAACCCATCCTATGCTTTTATGACCTTTAAGGACCCTTCCACCCCACCCAACCATTCTGTGATTCTATCATCTCCCAGGACTATTCCAACCCAACCCACTCTATGATTCTATCATCTCCCAGGACCATTCCAACCCAACCCACTTTATGATTCTATCATCTTTAAGGTCCCTACCAACCCAACCCAACCTGTGATTTTATGACAACTCACTCTCTGAACAGGACACGCCAGCACCAAAGCGACCTCCTCCTCTAGGACAGGAGACGTCGGCTCCATCGTGACGACAGTGGGCCAGGGACATCTCCGTCCCTGAGCACTTGACCCCACTCATGACCACGCTGTCAGCACTGACGTCTCCATGCCAGTACCAGGTTTCCTGGGCAGAGGGATGGAAAGAGGCATTTACACTCCATTTCATGGGCTGCTGGGGGAATATTTGTGTATCCTTGTGGATAACTTGTGTTCTCCCTCCATGCACGAGCTTGCATCAGAGGCAGGTTTGTTCAGTGCCCTCTTTTAAGGGGTTAGGGTTCCTGATGGAGCTGCTGGTATGTCAGTGCAGAAGAACGGAGGCAGAATGCTGCTGATCAGCATCTCTCACCTTCTCAAAACCTTCTGTAGCCCCAGTGAAACTGCAATGGCAAAGCTTGGGTGAAGGGAAGGAGAAGAAAGAAGAAAAAGAATTTTGATCCTTGCATTAGTGTCCAAACTGGAAACGTTTCTAGGAAAAGAGAACCCATCTGCACCATTGCTTCCATTGCAACAGGCTGTTTGTTAACCCTGTTAGCAACACTCCGCACACAGGGCTGCCCTGTTCTACACAGTGTAGCTTTATGCTCGCCTTGCTGGTGCAGCCGGGATACGCATAAGAGCCTTTTCTGTTCTAAATACCAACAGTCTCAGCTAAAGGAAAAAATGTCTTGTTTCTCACTGGACTCTCAGGGCTGTGTCAACAGAGCTGGAAAGGCCAGCATTGAAGGGACGTGGCTATCCGCAGCTCTTGTGCTCTGCTTGGCAGCTGTGCAAGCAGTCAGCTGGAGGAACCAGCTTGCAGCAAAGCTCCAGTCTCCTCCCTCCTAAGGCATCAGACCCCAGATTCCCTCTCTGGCCATGAGCAACACTTAAAACCCGTGGCAATCTGCTTGCTCAGGAGCCTGGTATGTCCTCCTGGCATCCTGGCTTGGTCAGAAGCTCAGTGGTTTGGATACAGCACCAAAATGCTGGAGTGTGGCACAGCCTCTGCTCCCTGGGAGGAGATGCTCTGTGCTGCTTTTTGCTTTTGCACCCAAGTTCTGGATTTCTGGCAATTGCTTGGGGGGAAATAATTTTCCTTCCATCTATGAAAGCCCTCTTGAATTTTATTTACTCAGTGGCAGCATGAGCCACATTTTCCCCAACGCTCCATTTTTAGGGGCCAATTTGCAAGAGAACAGCTCTGGCAGGGGACTGCTTTCCCAGAGAGAAGCCAGTTCCTTTGGGGAGCCATTGTGCCAACACCAGGAACTGCAATAAAGGTCCAACATAACCATAAAGGATCTACATTTCCTTGCAAAAGCTGCCTGCCCTTGTGATCCTTGAGGGGTGCATTGATTAAGGAGCAAGTCTTGCACTAAGATTATTGGTCTGTGTCCTTTATTGGGGTGGGAAGCTTCTGTTCCCCTGCATGCAGCCCCATTTCTGTGGCTGCTCGCTTTCCTACAGCCAGCACAGCAGGCTGCTGCTTCTTGTGCCAAGGAGCTTTGCTGGGAAAGAACACTTCATTCTTCTGTGGTTGTCCCAAACTTGCTAGCTGGTGGCTTTTATCCCTTTTAAGTGCTGTTCTTGGTCATGCATGAGGAGGGAGGCTTAAGGGCATTTGTCATCAGAGAAGCAAAAGCCACCAACAACCCAGGGAGCTGCACCACGTGCTGCACTGAGAAGTAACTACAGGAGCAAAATCAAATTGTTTTCTTGTGATTTGACACCAGGAGAAAATTGGCTTCCAACTTCACTCAGCTCAAATCCCAGCCTGAGCCAGGGAGGAACAGGGATCAGGTTGGATATTAGGGAAAATTTCTTCTCTGAAAGAGTGGTCAGGCATTGGCACAAGCTGCCCAGGGAGGTAGTGAGGTCACCATCCCTGGAGGTGACCAAGAGCTGTGGAGATATGGCACTGAGGGACATGGCCAGTGGGGATGAGTTGGGGTTAGGCCTGGGGTCTTTATCATCCTTAATGATTCTGTGATTCTATTTGGGGACATGGTGGTGAGGGGTCAGTAATTGGACTTGGTGATTGTAGAGGTCTTTTCCAACCTTAATAATTCTATGGGCGTGATGGGGGTGGGTTATAGTTGGTGATCTTAGAAATCTTCTCCAACCTTAATGATTCTATTTCGGGACATGGTGGTTATTGACATGGGTCAGTAATTGGACTTGGTTATCACAGAGGTCTTCTCCAACCTCAATGATTCTATGAGTGGACATGATGGGGATGGGTTGACATTTGGACTTGATGATCTTGAAGACCTTTAGAAGTCTTTCCCAACCATCATGATTCTACCCAACCTCACCTATGCCACCACGAGAAATACACGCCTATGGGGACCCACCTGGAAGGCATGGCTGGCAAAACCCAGCCCCAGCTGCCTGCACACCACCATGGCTTCCACAGTGCTCCATCCCTGGCTGCAGACCGTGCCCCAACGCAGCGTGCCATTGCGTTCAGCCAACACCTCCACCCGACCCTCGTATGGGTTGCGACCACCAACCAGGCGCAGCTGTAGGGCAAAAAATACCCCAAACCCTCCCATCAGTAAACATCACTGCAAACAGAGGTGACACAGCAGCTGGGCAAGGATCACGGGTCTGTTTTGAGGCTAAAAAGCTCAGGAATTTAAGCTCCTGGGCTTCTCTCACCTGGTTCTGGAAACCCATCGCGGGGACGTTGCATCTCACAGCAGCATCTTCCTCGTGGTTGCAGCCCTGCGACTCCATGTTGAACTTGCAGTCTGTGATGGATTTCTCAAATCCTGTACAGTCGATTTCATTTAGATGGATTGGACCCATGCCTTCGGGAGGGAAAGAAAATACAGTCATATCTTCTGCCCGTGCTACTGGGGAGTGGAGAACTATCCAGTAACCGTTTACTAATACTTTGCAGACCTCTAGCATTCAAAACATGGTGATCCTGACAAAAAATCCCAGCGATTTCTTGTAAAAATAAAAGAGCTGCAAGATTATCGTTATTAATTTTACCATTTTACATTCTTTCCAGTAGTCTCCAGGAGCCACACGCTGCAGAAAAAGCCAAGTTTCCGTTGTTACATAATTTACAAACTTCAGCTGGAGCAATTCACAAACTATGACCTTTTGGCTGGGTTTGTGTGACAAGAATCTGTTCTTGGTCAAAACCCGACATTTAAATGCAACATAGACACATTCGCTGGGACAGCAAAATGGAGCAGCACGGGGATGTGCAAGAGGTTGCTGGGACAAGCGACTGTGACCAGACTGGTAACAAGACAGGAAGGGAGCCATTGACTTTTGTTGCTGCAGAAAATGGTGCCAAGGCACTGGGGGCAGAAATTGGAAAGGAAGAATTGGCTCCATCCTCGTTGTAAAGTGACAGTGCACAACTGTCACTTCCAAAGAGACCCTGAAAGGAGAGAAGGCGCATGAGAAGGTAATAATGCTATAGAGCTCCTGTGTCCTGATTCCAAACCGAGCCCAAATCTATTTGGAAAGAAGTTTTGGGGGGGAATTAATCAGATTTTTTGATCACAAAACAAACAGGGTCTTTCCTGGAGCCTATGTAAACCAGTTCCCATAATTGCTGATGGACACACATGGAGAAGAAAGGAACATCTGTGTGTCAGTGATGGCCACCACCACCCAACAGCCAGAGGGAGCTGACCAACACCACACACATAAATTAGGGTCCAGCTCAAGGCACTGAAACGACACCCACTGCCCCAGTGGGTCACCCAGAGGTGACACCAGGTGCCCAAAAGAAGATGGTGGCAGCTCCACCGACTGCATCCCACCAGCACTGCCTCACTGTGAGCCACTTGGTGCTCACCTCTCTGCAGAGGAACACGCTGCCCTACTCCAAGCCTGCTCCTTTTAGCCTTCAAAGCAAAGGGCTGGCTCTGGAAGGCAGGAAAAGATAATTGGTTTGTTGGTGGGAGGTGGGATCATTTGCTCAAAAACCTCTTTCTGTTGCCAGTTGGAGCCTTCCTAACATGGAAGCATGGCAGCCAGCGCACCAGGGACTCAGATCCCTCACCCTGCTTAACGATGTGCCTGGTGAACCCCTCACCTCCACAGACTGCAGCACAAGGACTGGGAAAATGCAGCAACAACAACAACAACAAGAGCTCTCCAGCATATTTCTGCAGATGTGTGGCAGCGCATCTGGTTTTTTGTTGCTCTCATTAAAATCCAGTTAGTGGTCTGCAGCTGGAAACGGCAACACTGCCCTGCAAGCAGTTCTGTAGGAGGAATGGTGCTGACCAGAATTGGAGGAGATGCACCAAGAATGCAGCACGCATCCAGCCTCACATTCTACCCTGACAAAGTCATACCAAGGCGATGTCAAAGCCGGAGGGCAGGGCCACAGCTCTGCATTTCCCCCATGCCATTGCCTTTAGCAAAAGAATCGAATTAGGGCTGTATACCCAACCAACACATTCACCCACTGCTTGGGCTTTTACCCTGGGTTCTCCTAAGGACATTGCAATGGATAGCACTGAACCACACTTCACACCACTGAACCAACCACCTCGCTTTCAGAACAAGATCCCTTTTGTTTTAATTGGGATTGCTATTCACCAACTACACACCCGCTCCAATCAGCCCATCCCTGCGTGCTTCACCTTGCAATCCCAATGCATCATTGTTGGGTTTCTGTTTGTTTTGCAAATCCAACAGATAAGTCCAATTTTAAAGCTCTCCTTGTCTTGCACTTTCCTTTCTCCAAGCCATGCTGGTCTCAGAAATACCACCTGCTCACTGCGTTTCACTATGAAAGGTTGGGTTTGGAGTTATTATCTATAGGGTTTACATGAAGGCAATCAGCAGTTGGTTTGAGAGGGCAAACGTTAGGCTTGGAGTTGCCATTTACCAGAGTTTGGGATTTGAACCAACTCCCAGCTACAGGAAATCCAAACCCAAGCTGGCTCAGAGTCGTGCAAACAGCCCTCCTATTTTTAGCAGGCTAAATTAAGGTTCTGGACTTAAACTGGAGAGTGCCTGAGGTCGATGTCCAAGACCCACTTTTGCCAGGAGCCTTCTAGTAATGTGCATCTGGAGAACTTGTAAAGAGAAGTTGAGTGCAACAGATGCGATAACGAAGAAGTAATTACTGCAACAGCTGCTTGAGGGGAAGGTTAAACTCATCGGCACCAGAATTCTTTCAAGGAACCCTGAATGCCTCTCGAAGACACAGCCTCAGGAGGCTGATTAAGAGCAGAGAAGAAATTCTTGGCATCTCCTACCCTTACCTTGCCCCAGCCTTGCCCCTGTGATTGCCTCCTTGGCGCTGCCGAAGCCCAGCTCCCGGCACACCACGCTGGCAGACACCAGGTTCCAGTTGTCGTCGCACACCGTGCCCCACTCCCCATTCTTCAGCACTTCCACTCGGCCTTCGCCAGTGTTGGCTCCTCCTTTCAGCCTCACCAGAGGTTGCTGGAAGACATGGATGGAAGAGACACCTCAGTTCTTCTTGCGTGCGCAAAAGAACTCAAAAGCAGACCTTGAATATAAAGGAATTAAGCATCTCAGCTGAAGGTAAATTTTTGTATTACGAGATAAATCATAGAATCAGTAAGGTTGGAAAAAAAACACTGAGATCTTCAAGTCCAACCATCAACCCATCGCCCCTATGGCCATAGAATCATGGAATCATTAAGGTTGGAAAAGATCTCTAAAATCACCAACTCCAACCCCACTCCCACCATGCCCTCAGATTGATAGAATCTTTGAAGTTGGAAAAGACCACTAACATCAAGTCCAACCAGTTCTAACCATCAACCCATCACCACCACGAGATGAAGTGGTGGTCATCTCCCTAGGATGAAATTAGTTGCATTAATTAGTTAATTAGCCAGTTGTTTGCTGCTTTCCTACTAAGCAACCAGCCCTTTGCAAGTCTCATTTTTAGGATAACTCTTCGTTCTGAAAATGCTGGCAGCTTGGATCAGAGACACCTGAGAGCACGTTGCTGCAGCTTAGACTAGATGCCCTTGGGGATCTACCAGCCTTGATACCCTTCACAGATCAAGGACCCCCTTTCTGGGGTCAGTAGGAGCTTTGCAGCAATCTTGCAGTCCCTCCCAATGGGATGGAGGTGCTCCATCCCAGTGCCAAGCAGAGCAGCCCTCCATCTGCTGCACCCGAGAGACGTGGGGTGAGCTGTGGGAACACCAAGTGAAGTCTGCAGAGCCTGAGAGCACTGAAACCATCACTTTTAAAGCTGGAAGCATACACAGTTCTCCAGGCTTGGGGTCACGCAAAGGATATCCAAAGCCAACACAAAGGCTTAAAGAATTACTTGGCAGCACGCATGGCTCAGAAGATTAGTAATGATTTACAAGACCTTTCACCCTCGAGACCTAAATCCTTATGGCTTCTACTAGAGTGGGATTTTAGGGTACTGTCTGGGGTCTTCTGAACACCAAGAAAAAACCCACTCCTACAGTCACAACAGCACAGGGCTGGGGAATGCAGGCTATCCTTGAGATCCACAACACAAAATACCAACCCAGTATTAAGGGCCTGCAGCTCTGCAATCACCCCCTAAAGGTGCACATACCTTACAGACAGAGGATTTCCTTCGGCATCTACCTAAAACATGTTTGTTATTCTTCCCCATTCAGTTGCCCCACTCACACCAAGAGCAGCCAAATCCATGCTTGTTTTCTAACAGCCTTTTGCATAGCTGAGGATTTTTATGCTATGCTCAGCCTTCTTTGCTAGACTAAACAAACACAGCTCTCCTGCAGGTTTTCCCTCCTTCTCAGGGCACTTCTTCGCAGAAAACACGAGTAGTGGAAATACAACCTCACTTCCATTGGATCTCTACAGGAGACAGAGCTCAGCAGCATTTAATTGACTGCAAAACAGCAAAGCCCAGCAGCAGTGGGCACTCATTCAATTGGCTGGAGCAGACAGAAACGTGACAAATTTATTTGCTTACTACTTGAGCTGCCCTTCCAAGCCTGGCACCACGTCCTTGCAAGGACGGCACAGTGCAGAGCTCTCCGGATTTCTCCTTCCTGCTCCCTGCTCACCTCTTGCCTGAAGGCTTTTCGGAAGCCACTGTGGCTGCTGGGGGCAAAGGCACGGCCGGGGACACAGCTGGCCACTGCGGGCATCCCGTTGTCACATGTTGCATTCTTCTCTGTGTCCACGTTGAGGTGGTTGCCCAGTTTGCAGCTGGAGATGTGCGCCTCGTTCCCTGTGCAGTCCATGGAGTAAGCCCAGTAATGCTGCTTCCTCCTGCTGGCAAACATTCTGAAAGAAACCAAAGGGGAGAGAAATATAAGAGCCAGAATCCAGAGGAGCTACGTTTGGGAAAAGAATGCCTTGTAATTGAATTGATGGAGCAGGGGTGGATGGAGCAGGGGTGGATGGAGCAGGGGTGGATGGCTGCTCCATTCACACTCACAGTGACCCTCTGTTATGTTGTCACTCAAGAATCCATAGGTCTATTAACTCAAAAGGCAGCATGCTATCATGTCCCCCCAAAAAACCTCTCCCAGAATGAGCTGCTCCCCTTGCTGGCCATCCCCTATCAGCTGCAGAGTGCTACGGCTCTCCTGCTTCTCAGAGCTGCACTGTTAGCAACTGTGAGTCTGAAAGTAATATCTGAGAGTGAGAGAAATCTCCTCGCTTACATGTTTGCAGCAGAGGAGCTTGGCAGCAGTTCCTACTTCTTGCTCCCAAACTGGAGCTGCTCCAGGGACTGCTAAGGGGAAGGGGCATGTGTGATAAACGGGAAAAGAAAGCATCCCTGATTCATCCTAGCTGCAGTCAGACAACTGTATCAGGGCTGAAAGAGTCAGCAAAGTGTAAAAATGGATCAGGGCACCGGTGAAAGGGAAATGTGAGAAGCTGAAGGAAGCAGAGGTGCTGGGAGCCAACGCCTCGCTGGGATCTGACGTGGCTCTGCTGGATCCCTGTGCTGCTCCTTGCTCCAGGCTTAGCTGTGAACAAAGGCAGAGCACAGCGCAAGGAGAGACAAGAGCAGTGCTGACCAGTGAGTGGGACGGAGAGCTTGGCCAGGATCTGGTAAAGAAACCAAGGAGCATTTTTCTAGGTTGGTTGCCTGAAACCAAACTGGTGACTCGGCCATGTTGTCCCAGGTGATGCTCTTTGGTGGTTCCATGTGAACTACTTTGTGCCACTGTGGATCTTCTTCCTCTCATAAAGCCCTGCTGATGAGCCCAGCAGCTGTCCAGGCTCAGAGCCACCAGCAAATCCTGCCTGGAGCCCCAATTCTCCAGGCTGGAGGTAGGGCCAGGTACAGGCAGGCTGGAGACAGAGAAGCAATTGCACCACATGATGTGGAGACCACAGAGCCCTGGGGCAGATATTAGGGCTATAGGCAGATGTTACACACTGGAGAACATCTGCAAGAGCCTCACACAGTGACTTTACTCCTCTGTTTCTGCTTCACCATTCTGTTCACTGGAAGTGAGAACCAGGAGGAGTGTTCTCACCGAGGAACCCCTCCCCACACACACATGCAGTGAGCTCTGAACTCTGAAGCAGACAAGAAACACAGCCTGTCTTAGAGCAGTAACTACGGGGATGCCTTAGAATAGCAAACAATGACCTCATCCTGGAAACTTTATGAGGCATGAACATCTGGTTGGTGTTAGCAGCCCCCGGTAAGCTGGGGAGAAAGAGCCAGAGAAGCCCCACCTCGCTTCCCCAGAATGGATATGTGAAAAAAAGCAGAATGCAGATGATCTGTACAGACAGAAACTCGGGGCATTCTTGCTATTTAGCACAGAAAGGGTGCAGCCCACCTCTCGCTGGCCTTGGTGCAAGCCAAGCACAACGCTGCTCAGATCAGAGGGGTGAGCGAGCAGTCGTGCTGAGTTCGGCCAATTCGAGGTCATGTTGGAACCCAAAGGACGTCAGAAGAGACGGATCTTCACTGTGTAAGCTTGAAAAAAAGCCACAGGTTAAGTCTGAGGGCTGTGGGAAGCATCACAGGGCACGGCTTTGTAAGAACGTGTCGGAGAGGACAAGGAGAGCAGAGAGCAAATCACACACGTGCTGGGAAAGTCACCCACGGCACACTGAATGGCAGATGGAGAGTTCTTCTTTGGGCCCTGACCTTCTCCTGGAACCCTTAGGACCCTGGCTTTGCTGGAGAGAATCCAAACCACGAGGATTTCTACTGCAAGCCCCACACAGGCGACCAGATATACAACGCAGACTGGTTAAACTGAGAGATGCTACTCAGGCAGACACTGAACAAAGAGTGCTGAGCTCTTCCCTCCACTCTTCTGGCCACCCATGGGCAAACCATTCACTCTTTAGGCCACCCATGGGCAAACCATCCACTCTTTTGGCCACCTCATCCACTCCTTGAATGCTCTTGGACAAAAGCTGCAGGAGAACATCAGGAAGGCATCGGGTTCATTCTCTGCCTTAGACATCTCCGCTCACAAGCTCGCGCCGTCCCTGTCAGCAGGATGCATTTAATGCTGCTCAGAGCAGGGCTTGGAGGAGGAGTTAACAAACAGCTCTTATATAAAACCGCTTTGAAGCACGAACAAGAACGTGGAAACAACATTGAAGATTTGTTTCATTTCCGAACATAAATCACGCTGTCAACTGCAGAGCCCGAGTTGCATTCAGGAATAAAGCCCTGGCACGGTGACAACAATGAACTAACTTGTTTTCTTTCAAGCAAGACCCATCTGCACATCATTTCACCTCCCACCACAGCGCAGCCGCGGAGCTGAGGACCGGCGAGCTCAGCTCACCAATGAGGGTGGTTTGGGTCTTCGTTAAAGCAAAGCATAAGATGTTGGTTTGGTAGCAGAGGTGCACGAGCCTGGTGGTTAGCATTGCATATTCATAACTCCAGCTCCAGTGAATGGGATTTTCAGTGCTGCTGAAGAACTGCGCATCAGCTTTTCCATCTCTGCATGTGCTATTGCAAGAGACAGGACAATTACCACGCATCCTTTTATTTAGGGCAGATGGCTCCAGCTGCTGAAGTTAATGCTCTTCTTGGAAATGCCATAACTGAGAAGCAAGAAAAATCTGCTTTGTTTTACTAGAAGTGTTCCGTCCTCCTGTTCTGGTGCAGGGAATGGGAATCTCAGGTCTGAATTTGCTGCACTGACTGGAGCAAACATTCCTATGGATAACAACTGCCTGCTAGCATTTATCAGCTCTCTGCTTGGCTCCCTGGGATGCCCAAAAGCAGAGCTCCACCTGCGTTATTTGCTTTATATTCTTTCTGCTGCTATATGGCTTTACACTCTCCCAACCCAAAGACCTCTTCTATTGATCACGGTCTTTCTAACAAAACGAATGAGACTTGGCCAGCCAGTTCCAGGGGGAGCTTTCAGAAATAGCAACGCAGAGGCCAAAAAGAACAGGAAAACCACAGCTCCTGCCTGGAGAGCTTCCCCCTCACCGGCTGACACTTTCCCACTCCTGGGTCACAAAGCAGAGGGAAAACTGAGACAGAACTGAGATTAAACTATTTTGCATCTGCTCTGGGGTGTTATTCCTAGGGAACAGCGTAGGAAGAGCTATGTCTGTGATGAAAGATGGTGACAAAAAGCATTGACAACAACAACAAAAGACCAGAGCTCCCAGCTTTCAGGATGGAGAAACACAGCCTGAACTGCTCAGCCTGCGGCTCTCAAAGACACGATGTTCTTTCTCCCTGGGGATCACCATTTCCTCCCCTTGTTTTAAAGCAACCAAGAAATACAAAAAAAAATATGTATATATGAAACGGCACTGAAATCACAACTGCCCTAAATTGGAGAGCAGTTGCTTAATAGGGGTAAGCAAGTCATTGGAGGGGCAAGACCAGGACTGAGGAACATGGTCAGTATGGGCAATACAGCCAACAAAAGCCTGCTTTGTTCCAAGGTTCTCCCAATGGAGCCTTCAGCACCAGACTTGATCCTAAGCTTTTTGCAGAGAGATGGGAAGCGCTTAGTTTAGCTAATATTAGATAATGGGTCCACTGGGTTTTGCTCGTGTCCACCCAACCCCTGCACACAACACAGGACCTGAACCCATCACTAATGGGAGAACTGACTGCCCCATAGGTGCAAACAAAGGGATGTGGGCATTCAGGGATGTGGGCATTCAGTACATCTCCTGCTGCAGGAGCTACCAGCACTAACAGTGATGCTCTTGGTTGAGGAGCAAACCTTCCTCCCTGCCCACCCAAGGAAATACCTGACGTCTCAAGTATTTACACAGAAGGAAAACCCGATCTGAAGGAATGAAGCAGTCAGAGCTTACTCTACCCGGAGGTCTCAAATTTGACAATTTGGGCTTTCTGAACAAGGCCCCGAGTGCTCAAAGAAACACACAGAGCTCTGCTCTTACTTGTAGACCTTGGTGTTGTATTTCCTCTCGCTCGGAAACCCAAACATGCCGCAGACGACTCGGGAATTCTTCATGGTCCAGTGCTTGTCACAGATCTGCTTCCAGGTCCCTTCATCTTTCACCTCCACGTAACCCTCCGTGACGGGCACCCGCTTGCGATAGGTGGCAAGGATGGGCCGGATCCTGATGTCCTCCACCTGAATGTTCATGTTCTGCGAGGGGAAAAGAAAGAGGAATGATGCAGGCTTGCAAGGAAGCTGCTGGGGAAGGGGGAACCTGTTGTGCTCGGAGCGATGAGGGCTGCGCAGAGGGAAGAGCTGTTTGGGGAAAGTCCAGAGATGTGGTGGCATCTTTGCTCCTGGAGGTGTTCAAGGAATGTGAAGATGTGGCACTGAGGGATGGTGGTGTGGGCATGGTGGTTGGAACTGGGGATCTTAATGGTCTTTTCCAACCTTGATGGTTCTGCAGGTATGGTGGGTTGGGATTGGACTTCGGGATCTTGGAGGTCTTTTCCAACCTTAATGAGTCTATAATTCTATTCCAGGAAGCTCTGGCACAGGTTGCTCAGAGAAATGGTGGGTGCCCCATCCCTGCAGACACCCAAGGTCAGGCTGACGGGGCTGTGAGCACCTCACTGAGCTGTGGGCATCCCTGTTCATTGTAGGGGGTTTGGACCTCTAAGGGTCCCTTCCAATTCAATCGATTCAATGACAACAGTGAAGCAAACAAGCCCTTCTACCTTGTACAATTCCTTTCTCTGTCCTTCAAGTGGTTATATATACACACATATACATGTGTGAATGAATGGCTATGTAGTAAACCCCCTCTGTTATTAAGTTCATTGGAAGTGTTGATTTCAGAAGCAGTGACCTCACTCCATGTACAGGTTTTGGCCACTACTGGAGCGAGCCGAGCTCACTTTGGTGGGGCTGATTACTGGCACAGAGCACTGGCAGGGGAGCGAGCTGGGGGTCCCTCTGGGCATCCACCCCCACGCTGTTGGCACAGAGATACCCCCATTTCTGCAAGCTGAGCTCCTCCTGCAGCAAATGAGTCGGGGAGGTTGAATGGATTTTGCATTTTGGAGCCTACGTGAGGATGCTGCAGAAACCTTGCAGGGACCTGAGCCCAAAGCGAAGGCTGACTGGAAAATATTTGCTGTGGCAAGCAATTACAAAGGAGCTACTGAAAATTTTATTGCTTGCTTCCAGGAGAGCTTTTCTTGTCAAAAATGTAGGAAGCCACGTGGTTCTGCGCAGGGTTACATCAGATCTGAGGAATTCTGCCCTCCCCTCCATCACTTGGAAAAGGAGGGGGCCCAAAGCTTTAAAGAGACACAGCCTCTGTGGGTGGCACGCAGGTATTTGGGGCAGGGAGAGCACTGCAGGGCTGATGCAGCTCTGAGAATCACACGTGGCACATCCATCCCCCAGCACTGATGGGAATCACAGCCTTGGGCAAATTGAAACCAACTGCAGGGAAAGGATGGGCCTTACTCCCAGCCTTGGGCAAACCTTTGTATTTATATATATGTTATTGTCTGCATTTACCACTTGACTGATTATCTCCTTTTCACGTCCAGCTGCAGGAATTCAGCCCTGCACAACTGGAGCACCCATGGGACACCCCTGGTGACTCTGCACAAGGATGAACGCAGTGAGCTGACAGCTCAGGCTTAGGTCTGGAAAGCTCCTACAGCCCTAGAGAAGAAAGCAAATGACACAATATCCAAATTTTGCCACATCCAAGGCATTCAGGTGTTTGGAAAAAGGGTCCCATGCAGGAACCAGCTGGTACATCTGGAAAGCACGTACTGAAGGAACCAAAACATTCAGAACAAAGTGTGGTATCACCTCCAGGAACAATGCTCTGAGCTGCACACGTGCCTTGCAAAGAAGCTGCACGGTGGCACTGCTCCATGTGCTTCGTGCAGAGCAATGGTCCAGATGTGAAACATCTGCCTGGTGCTTCCGCAGCAGAATCGTTACCCTGTGTTGCACTCATTAGTCATCATTAAGCCATTACTGCTCACTGCTGCAGCAGAAATCTTCTCTAAGATGAATGCTCCCTTATTGCAGGGGGTGACAGAGCTGAAAAGCCTCCAAGATAAACACAGCCCTCATAAGATGGGAGAAAGGAAAGATTCTCAGACTCTTTCTGCAGGTTGAGCAATGAGATGCAGAGGGATCAAAGTGCTTCTGCAATGACCCTCAGGCAGGAATTGCATCCAAGCAGCAGCAAAACCTCCAGCACTGAGGGCCCCTTTTTGCTCACAGAACTTCTGGTACAGCAAATTGGACTTGACGATCCCAATGGGTCCCTTCCAACTTGGGACATTCTGTGACTCTATGAGCTCAAGGCTTTGCTCTGGGTCTGAACAAACAGCAAAATACCCAAGAGAAGAATTCAGTGTGCTGCTGACCTTGGATTTATACTGGGAGATAAAGAAGGATGGATCAAAGCAAGCCCTCCTTCCTCCTGCAGCACATTAAGAGCTTCTTCCCAATGGCTCTTTACAGGCTTGAATGGTTTCCTCTCTCTGCACTGGGAGTATTCAGTAATGCAAGCACAGCCAGGTTGTATTTTATCCCCAACACCAATGCATACAGCAGAGGGACTGATGGTGAAAACAGACTTCACATCCAAATCAGAACAAACAACATTTAATAGCTGGAGCAGATGCTTTCAGACAGCCCTGTGCATGCTTTCTGTACACGTGGAGACAAAGGCCTGCAACAAGAGCTCGTGTTAACGAGGAAACCTCTGTCTGAAAGCTTTGCTGGTTCTGTTATACCAGCTATTGAGGCAGACCTGTAAACCCTCTGATGATCTCCAAGCAGCTATCAGACGAGCAGCTGTGCTGCAACCGTAAAGCAGAGCCTGCAGCAGTATTTCAGGAGCCAGACAGCCATCCAAAGAGCAACACTACCTCTAGGAAACACAGCAGGAAACCCAAAGGCATTTCTCTCCTGCTTGCATTAAGCCTCCTGAATGCAAAACTGTTTTGGGTCCTTTCCCCTTCCTCCTGCTCCTCCCTGTTGCGAAACCCATGAATTTCACCTTCAGAGAACAGGGGATAAGCAAGAAGAAAAGGGGTCGGTCCTGAGCTTTAGCAAGGGGATTTCTGGCTCAGAACACTTTTGCATGAGCCTCAGCTGTTTTGTTTTCATCTCCCTGAACCAAATGCATCCCCTGATTGCAAAAACCCACACTGCATAACATTTCCTTCTACCTTTTGCCATCTGTTCCTATGGGAAGGACTATCCACCCCTCCCAGGCTCAGTGACACCTTTCTCCTTGCAGCAGCCCTGAGGATGTCCAGCAATGGTTACACACATTTCGGTGTGTGATTTAACCAAAGCAGTGAGCCTGTGTGTTACCTCTGTCCCTGGATAGTCCATACTCACTGCCCCCCTGCTTTCACAAAGCTCTCTCTTCACATACATAAGAATGAGAGGAATCTGTTTGGACTTAAACATCTGGAGCTGTGCCTCTGAGTCACCACTGAGGTCCCAGCTGTTTAATTAACACAGGGAGGGAGATGCTGCAAGACTGAACAGGCTGTACAGGGTGGGCAGCAGCCCTGAGAGCATTGCACTGCATTGGACCACGAGCACTTTTTGTTCTGAGGTTTGCACAGAGCAAAAGGATGAGAGATGAGAGTGCAGTGCAGGATTAGGCTCCGGGAGCAAACACAGTGCAGATCATAAGTGACAAAGCTGATGCCTTTGCTAAACTGTGCAATGCTTCAGTGGCAGCCCAATGCAAAGCATTGGAAGGCTAACAGAGGGCACTGGAGACAAGGGCTGCATGGCAAGCACCAGAAACCCCTACACACACATTAAAATTACAGTAGTGAAGAAACAGAGGCTTACCTCAGTGGCTTAATTAACATTTGACTTGAGCTATCTCCAGAACAGATGCTGAGATGCTCTCTGGGCAAACATCAGCATTTATGTGGCACACAGGTGTGTCCTTAGAGAGGTAAACATTTACATGAAGGGGAAAGAGCTTAAAACCTATTGACACAAACAGGTAAACAAACACTGGGTTTTCAAACAGCGAGGACAGGGCTGGTCTCAGGCGATGGGAACAAATCCTCGTGGCACAGAGAGAGCATCCATTGATCTGCATGGTGATATAACAGTTCTACTTGTGCCATAAGCAGTATCAGAGAGAAGTAGGATCATTAAGATTGGAAAAGAACATTAAGGTCATCAAATCCAATCCCAAACCATGCCCACCATGGTCATAAAGGTTGGAAAAGACTCTTGAGATCACCAAGTTCAACCCCAACTCATCCCTCCATGCCCACTGATCATGCCTGTCTTGCACTTAGCAGCAGCACACAGAGGCATTCTATACAACCTCATCCCCACAGCCCAACTGGGCTGGTTACAAACCCCAGACAATATAAACTCAACCCATTTCCAACCTGGCACAACTGGATCCTTTGAGCCACCGGGCTTTGAAGTGAGATTTTTCTGCTCCCAGAAAGGAAAAGGAAGACAGGAATAGCAGCACAGCCCGCTGTGCTCCACCAGCCCTCGTCTGCCCACTGTCTGCTCCCAGGTACCACATCTATTTGGGAACACTGTGGCTGCAGCTATTCGATATATTTAGAGCACATCCTATTTGCAGCCTGGATGTGTGCACGGAGAGGAAGAGGACGGACAACAAATATTTTGCTAAGGATGTTTTGGGGGATGGCTTAAAAAAATGCATTTATTAAAGAAACGTATTCAGGGCAGATGTGTGCTTTCTGCTGTGGTCTCAGCAGTGCTGCCACAGGTGGGTTTGTCTGTGTTTGGACAATGCACTGCTCTCATCCAGCACATCAGAGAAGGGCATCTCGGCTCCCAGCTCCCTTCCTGCTCTTCGTGGGGCTTTCAGGTGTGTCATCCCTAAGAGCATCCCCTGCCCCATCTACACAGCAGCTGTAGAGCTGGACCTGGAGACACCGTTGTGAACAAAGCAGGTGCTGTGCTCTGCCCTCCTGTTGTATTCCCAAGTCATGCAAGAACTCACAAATGTGAATACAAGCACGCAAACCTGGGAGCTTTTACTCCAAGAAATACAAGCTAAGTCAACTCCTCATGTTATTCCAACCATAATTTGCCCGCATGGTGTTGGATGAGCTGATGCCTGCATGGAGGAGCACAGGTCCAGAATCAGTCTCCTCCTGCCCCTGTGGCTGTGAGCAGCCTTTACACTCACAGTAAAACAAGGCTAAGCCACAAGCCTTGCTCTCTCCATAAGTGAGAAGCTGTCTGCATACTTAGTCTACATATTTTAGAGAGGAGAGGGAAAAGCAGCTCTGAATTGCACTCAGTGTCATTGCCCCAGGTTGCATCGAGCAAGCACTGCTGAAGGTGGGCAGTGCTCAGGATCCCAGCCAACAGCCCCACTCTGTGCATCCACCACTCTCCAAGAAATAACCCTCAGAACAAGGCTAAAAGCTGCAGCATCTGCTGAAAGTATCAAGCACAATGGGACTTTGCCCTTCAGCAAGAGGCTGATGGATTGATTTCAGAGCTGCTCTAAGCTCGGTCCTTTTGAACATTTCCTGCCTATCTGCTGCCTCTGTGTCACATATCTCCAACCACTCAACCTGGGCTGAGAGGGTTTGCTGTATAGAGCTGGGGGAGCAGGAATGGAAAGGCTCAGGAACAGGAAGAGCTGTGATGTAACCCTCCAAGCATGAGCTGTGATGGGAAAAGATCCGACTGAACGTAGATATACATATATATATTTAAGCCAAGTGGCTTCTGGTGATGGAAAGTTTCATCCTATACCACTTATCTACAGCATTTCCAAACTGGGGAATAGAGGCATGCATAACGTCCAATAAAAATAAGCTCTGCTCGAAGGCTCTCGTGTTGCTTTTAAGAGCGTGCAACCCTTCAGCCTGTCGGATTTTAGGAAGTGGGGCCAGATTTGAGCAAACATTGGTTTGCACAGCCCCTCTGAGCTGGAGCCGAGTCAGAATGAAGTCAGACGTTGCCTTATAGCTGCTGGCTTTCCCCTTTAAACCTTGGCAGCCCCACAGAAAGTAGCACTAAAGGGCTTGAAGTCAATTTCCAAACGATGAATTTAAGATGAGTGCAATGGCACTTGCTTGGTGATGGGTTGTCTGTGCTGCCCAGAGCATGCGTTTCCCAGGAAGGCAGAACAGAATGCACCAAATGCATCAATACATCACTATCACCACACTGCCTTCACCAGTGCAGTAGCTGAAGGCAGAGGGGAGACCTGTCCATAAAAAAATCTCAAGTCCTTCACTCCAATTTCATCCTAATGGGGAAACATCCATTGGGCAAGCACTGGGCTCCAGCCAGAGGAACCCAACTGCTCACAGAACGATGACGTTTCCCCCAGTGAATGCAAGCTATGACATGCAGAATTCCCAGGCATGTTGGAGAGGGCAAAGACTTTCAGCTTGCGTTCACATCAGCCTTTTGACCTCACTGTTTGGTGGTTTGTGACCCTATGAGTAACCCTTCTCATCGTCTCTGACTCCCAGCTATGCCACAGCAGCTGCTAATGAGATAAAGCAAACACAGAGAAGAGAAGGAAAGCTGGAAGGGGGGTGGAAAACCTGAAGCATTTGACAGCTAGCTGTGACTGAGTTGTGCTTCCACAAAGGCATCTGAAAAATTCATAGCACATCACCTTTAGCCTTAATCCTGCAGCATTAGAACCAGCAGAATAAAGAACCCTTCAGCTCCCTGTGACTTTGGAGGGATATGAGAAAACTCTCTACCCACACCAGTGGGTCACCAGTGCTCCTCACCCACAGCTGGGAATGCAATTCTCCACTCACCATAGTGGTGAATGCCTTCACCCATGCCCAACTCCCAGCTCATGGAGAATACAACTCACCCAAACCTATTTCTCCTATTGGCTTCAGCCACATGAGCTGCTCCAATCCTATGATTCATTCTCTTTATCTTACATGAAGCTCAACACCCACACAGCATCAGCACAACCAGTTCTTGGTCACCCCGTGTTCTGCTCATTAATCAACCTCCTGTGCTTAGCTAATGGAAAAACAGAGCCCTCCCCAGCTTTTATGATTAATACCCGAAGCATCTCAGTGCGATGTGACCTCTGTCTAGACGAAAGCATCCTTTCTTCCAGGCCTTTCTTTGGAGGATTCACTGTGGCTTTGGGAAAGCACACATCTGTCAAAGCCATCACTGATGTTCTATGAGCTCGCCTCGCTCCCTAAGCAACTGCCTGGGGCCATTGGGATCCCTTTGGAAGGCCTTCCTTTCCCTCTGTAGCAGAGGGAAGCCAGGTCAAGACAAGCAGAATTTCAGAGCCTTCCATCCATCAGTGACTGCAAAGCAATGCTAGAACAATTTTGCTGCATGGTGATAAAGAATGCTGCATCCTTCATTTCAGGTGGCAAACAGAGCCACAGAAACCACGGTGTGGTATGTGATGCACCCTGGATTCTCTGCTTAAAATAAGGTTTGACTCTGGTTAGTGGAGAAGTTCTTTTGATATGTTCTGCACACTGAAACAAGGGAGCAGTTGGCTGAGTCACCGCAAATATTTTCCAACCTGAACATTCGAGAGAGAAAACGTTTTTTTCCTTTGATGAGCTCAGCCCAGCTTCTTTCCAGCCCAGCATTTCTCCTGGGTTATTCCCCCACAGAATTTTATACTACAGAAATCTAACAATGCTGGCTGAGCAGCGATTCAGGCATTTTACTCCTGTCATTTCCCCTGGAGATCCGACCTCAGCCAAAATCCAGAGCCTTTCCCCCAGTGACCAGCCTACGTTTTCCTCTGCTCATGTTCATTTCATCACTTCTAGCACTAATCTCCCATTCCCAGAACTATTTCCATAGAATTATCACAGTCACATCATTACTTAGCTAACCAGACCAAAAACCCTTTTATATTGAAAATCCATCCCTCCCAACCCCATGCTTGTAAGCCCTATTTGCTACAAACCCTACCCCACCGTTACATCAAAGACCTCCAGTTTGCTTCCAGTACCCGAAGGGAGGCATGAGGGGAAAGAAAACTCAGCAATTCGGTGCTATGGGCCAACAAAACCACATGGGTAGAAGCTTATGGGTAGGGGTAGAAGCTTATGGGTAGGGGTAGAAGCTTATGGGTAGGGGTAGAAGCTTATGGGTAGGGGTAGAAGCAAACATCCTTCTCCCCCATTTTTTTCTTAGAAATACAATTAAAAAAAATCACTGTCAAGCATTTGCTCTCACAATAGGATGCAGCTCAGATAACCTACAACATGTAGCAGACATCTCCAAGGAAGACTTGACCACCATCCTGGAATTTCAAAGCCCATTTACCTCTATTTGGTTGAGCAGCGAGTTGTCAAACTTGAAGCCAGGGATTCTCTTCTCACTGCAGACCACTCCCACGTCCTCGGTGTGTTTGCAGTCTGTCACCCCCCAGCCATTGGAGGTGCACGCTGCCAGCGTGGTCTCCTTGCCATTGCAGTGGACATTGTCCATCCAAATTTTCCCTAAAGAGGAAAGAAAATAGAAACGAGACTCAGAAAGACGCAGGTCTAGATTGTGCTAATCAGGGGTTTGGTGATTGGACCCTGCCCTCTAATCACACCAAATCACCCTCTGTATTTAAGGCTTCTCTTCACATCGTTTCTCGTCAAACCCTCATTAAGTCTCTCCTATGAGAATGCTCCAAGTTTTGATTAAATGTCCTACTATTTTAAAGGCAAATTTTTGCAAAAGATTTAACAAACCACTGCTGATTGGAACCTCCTGTTATTCTTGTGCTCCTGAAAACCAGTGCCCAGATCCACTTTCCAGACTGTAGCTACACGTATATTGTATTAAAACAAATCAGGTCCTTTGGAGCTGACCGACAGGTGGACAAAGATCTATAGGTGCCACTGCAAGAACTTGAGGTCATATTTTCCAAGCAAAGAACCTTCAAGACTCCCCTTTACAAATGCTCACATTCCCTTCGGATACATGCTGGGCACGTGTTATTCCCCTATGATTTATCCCCTCCAAGGAGCAACAAGCAATTCCCATATTTTAGGCTCCCCAAATCTCTGCTTGTCTGAAGGACGCATCCTTTGGGTGGAAGGGACTGCCCAGCCTTCAAAGCCACAAGGAGATTTCGTAAGAGCAGTCAGAGCTGTTTCCCTTGGCTTTCCCAGCTTCGTTCCAGCAGCCCTAATGCTCAGTTGGTTCAACACCAGCCAGCTGGTGGATCTGCCAGCCCTTCTCCTGCTCCCCAAACATTAGGTCCATTGAGTCCTTTCTGACCTAGGAAGGCACAGTTCCCCCTACGCAGGTTCTCTGCATCAGGATTTACCCACTGAACCAGATGGCAACGATTTTCTGGCTTGTTTTCCAATGTCATGGACTCTTTTCTCTCTGTCGGAAATCTTCTCCACCCCAAAAGCCAAAATCCACAGCTTGGGACAACATTCCAGGTTTTATGTTTCACTCAAGTCAACCTTAAGGCTTGCTTGCTCCTTAATGGGCAATTTTATAGGTGTGAGCACTAACGAGCAGTGCTAAGTAACAGACATACAGCACGTTTATCCCTGCTGGAGTGGAAATAATCTGTCTGTGGGTTACATCAACAGTGCGCCAGGCCTTCATGTTTGGAGAAAGAAACTCCACCAGCCAGTATTTAACTAACAGCGTAGTAAAAGACAATTAAACAAGGCTGCTGAGTTGCACACTCTCACAGAGCTATTCTACCTCGAGCATTACTATTTTGAGAGTTTATTACTATCAATAAAAAGAAAAGATCCAACTTTCCAAGCTGCCATTGCCCACGCAACCTCCATGTGCTATTTCAAAGATCATGATAGAAGGATGTGCAGTTTGGGTTGGGGGTGAATAGCTCTTCTTCACCAAGACCAGCTTGGAGAGTCCCAAAAGACTATTCTAAACATAGTCCTATACAGGACACAAAGCATACACATTCCTTTGGCGTTTTACAGGCTACTCTGCATTGCAGAATGATGTATGCCCCTCTAGAGAAGATAACAGGAGGAAAAAGAATTGTACAGCATCAAAAAGGCAATCTATTTAGAGCCCAAATGGTTCCCAGGGAAAAGAAGAACAGGAGGAAAGAGTGCTTAGAGGTTCTGTTTGACTCACTGCGTGGCAACGGAAGCGTGAACGGGGAAACAACTACCTGTAAATTACATCTGTGGTTGCAGATGCCCTTTTAGTAGCTTTACTGGCTGCTGCAGATTTTCCTACCTTCATCCCCTGCTAGAGCTCACACGCCAAGATCGGCTCCTTCAGCTCTGTGTCTGGTCCTACATCTTTAAATTTAGCCATCAAGTCAAGCATTATTAGGGTTGGGGAGACAGCTAAGCAAGATGCTGTAGCTCTGGGGGTCACCTTACCTTCTCCTTTCCCATACTTTGAGCTCGGTAGCCAGGACACTGCCTCCACGTAGCCCAACTCCCTGCAAATCACGTGTGCTGCATGGATGGAGAAGTCATCATCGCACACCGTACCCCACTCGCCGCTGTAGAACACCTCCACTCGGCCTTCGTTGTGTTTTCTCTTCTGCCCTGCGAGCCGTAGTTGGATTTTGGGAACGTCTGCCGGCCTCTGGGGGGGCTGGTAGACTTGTGGGGGTGGCTCAGGGTACCCGGGGAGGTAGGGCCAGTGTTCGTACTGGGCAAGGCTCAGGGAGACGAAGAACAGCATGATGAAACAGTGGTTATGGTTAAAGCCCAGGAACCCTTCCATTTTCAGTGCTCACAGTTCTCAGAGCCAAAGCGTTGTTTTGCAGCTGCTGGTCAGTGCAGGTAGGTGCTGTGCGGCTGTCCTGGAATGAAAGGAGAGGGTGAGTAAGGCTTGGTAAGGACGTGGGTTTCATTCCTCCTGCTTCAGAAGGGGGTAAACCTATGGAAGGCACCATACCCAATGACTCGACTTGGTAAGAACCAAAGTCAGTTATTTCTCACGGGGTGGGAGAAGAAAATGAGAAGAAACCTATGAAAACCGCTTGCAAATTTAAGTCAAATTGCTTTGGCTGGAGAATGTTTTCTTTCCAGGGTAACATTCTACAGGTCAAAAATGGCAGCAATAGGATTTTCCTATTCCTCTGCAAATCCAATGGTTCAGTGTCTGCGGCACAGAGCGATGTGGTTTAGCAGGGATGGATTGATGGTTGGACCTGGTGACCTCAGAGTTCTTACCCAACCTTAATGCTTCTATGATTCAGTGTAAGTGCAAGACACTCAACCAGGGTGGGACTAAACATTTTCCCCCCATACTCCCCTTAAAAAAAAAGAGCACAATCCATCACTTAAACAATGGAAAAACTAAAAGGGCAGTGAAACATATTATAGTGTGGTCAGAAGCAAAGTATTTCTATTGAGGTCTATTTTCCTAATTCCACGATAGAAGAGTTATTTCTGCCACTGCACATCATTTCCTCTGCAGAAAATCAATGCAGGTTACCATACCTTGCAGAATAGCAATCTCACGTGGCCTTGCCTAGAGCTAATGATCTCCAGGGTTTGCTTGCTAAATCAGGGCTGGGGTTCATCCCATAGCGTAGCAAAGTGGCCATTGAAAGTATGAACCAGCAACTTTTGGCTCATTAGAGGATTTTATCCGGATGCTGGGCAAAGCTTAAAGCCTGGTCATTTTCTGCCCACTTCACACACTCCCCAGCACGCGGAGTGGTCAAGGAGCACACGTGGGGGCTGATGGTTGAATAGTTTCCAAATGAAGCAATGCCACAGTGCAGTGGGGAAAAGCTCCCCAGCCCTTAAAGCTCTGTTATTTCCTGGCAAATACCAAAGAGGATGGAGAGGGAAAGATTGGGCTCCAAAAACAGATGCTGCAATGTAAAACCCTCCAGCGGTTTTGCTGGGGCTCAAATATCCCCCAGAAGGGACCAAGATGACACACCAAGCAGCCTTTCAAGCTAGAGAGATGTATCAGAAATCCCAAGGAACAAGCTTGAGATTCAGAATGCAGTTAAATCTCAGCTTCAGCATGCTATCTGACCTCAGCCAGCGCTCTGCCTCAGTTTCCCCTCGTGTTCCACATAGGGCTGGTAGTAGTGAGTACCCTCTGACCTGCTGGGGATGGAAGATGTGTCCATAAGAGCCACATGCATGAAATAAAGGACGTAGCTAAAGGAGTTGCATTGGGTTTTGGGGAGAAAAGTGAAAAAGCAAAGGGGGCACTACAAAGAGGAGGGGGGAATGTGGGGCAAACATTTCAAAGACAGTAACAATTTGGTTTCAAGGAGCCAGATACTCTCACAGTGACTTCACCAGCCTGAGATTTGTACGTTTTCAAAGAAATTCTGGCATGCAGACCAGGTATTTTTCCAATTTCTGCAGGTCAGGAGGTGAGGCTGAGAGGAATGGAAGCAAGCCCTGCCCCATGTCAGACAGAGAGGAAGGGAATACAATGCTTTCACAAGGCTGCTCCCCTCCAACAGGAAACAAAGGGGATTTCCCAAAGCAAATGCAGTCGGCGGAGCAGGAGACGTGCTCTGCAAAACTAAAAGGCTCCGAGCCAATGCACATCAGTGCTGTCAGACACACCGACTTCAATACCCACCAGCATGGATTTCAAAAGAAACCTCTTACAATGCGTTTCATGGATGCAAGATGGGCTCCAGCCCAGAGGATAAACACGTGGGCAGAGCAGTTGTTGTGAACAGGATAACGATTTCCAAGTAACCCCCTTAGATCACAGCATAGAAATAACATATGTTAGTTATAAGTAAAAACACCAGAGGGGGAACGACGAGCCCACAGAGCTGTAAGCCCAATGGTCTTTGGGAAATCTGGTTTTCAGCTCCAATCTTTAAACATCTGTTTTGTCCCACCGTGTTTTACGCGGCTGTTGTTTCTTGCTACTGAGTAAATAGGATTTAAACAGCCTCAGCAAATGCAAAACAAAAGCTAAGTTGGGTTGAAACCTCTGTGTCATCTCAGTTCCTGGAGAGGGAGAACTCAACCCAACCTTAAGTGTCATTATGGCTTTCTCTTGGCAAACAAACATCATCTGTGATCCTTAGCCTTGTGGTCAAGTCCTGGAGGAAGCTCTCGAGAGATAAAGGCACACTGCCATAACTAAGAGGAGATGCCCAATTCCCATCTAGGTTACCTTTTGGGAACAGCTCCAGCTTGCAGGGCTGCATCCAATTCAAACCAAAGCTCCTGGGTCATTTCAATGGAGGACTGCAGCCAAAAGACACAACGGTTTGGGGAAACCATTTGGAGGCAGGATGTAATGGTTACCAGCTGAGCTCCCTGAAGCATTAATTAATAACACAGAGCCCTGGAAGATGCCAGGGCCCTAAAGGAAGTCACAGCATCAGGAGATCTCACAGCCAATGGGCAGATTGGTGGTGCAGACTTTCAGGTTTTAATGGGTACCAATGGGCTTCGATGGGTACCAACATTACTAATATAGATTATAGCAAATTCCACAGGTGCAATGTTTGCATTTGGCAAAAACTCATCAGGTCAGCACCCTGGGAGCACTAAGAGCCAACTGCAGGATAATTTGCCTTTGTTTCCCAAAGCTTAGAGGCTTTCAGAGCCATGCAAAGCTACAAAAACCTGTTTACTGCAGAATTTAAGAAAATCTGGGGAGGATGGATAGGTCCCTTCCTCCATAGAGGAAAGGCTGATGAGAAAAAAAGTATTTTGAAAGCTTTGTACGAATGCAATCCTGAACCTTTGCCAAGGGGAATGACTTGGGGGGACACACATCTCATGCTCAGCTCATGCATCTTCCCATCTCCATTGGGATCCTTTGAGATAAGGCCCAGAAGAAGGTACTGGAGAAACAGCCTGAGATCTGCCTTCTAATCTCGTTAAATCTGTGCAAGTGCATCTCAGAGGAATTCTCCCCTAAGAGCAGAACAGCAGCAATTGCACACGCTCCAGGAGACAACACTGCAGTGTGCACTGGCAACCACAGCCTGCTTCCCTTCAGGTCGTGTTACCATCCTAAATAGTTGCACATTCACACATTTGGAGACAAAGCCTTCCCAGTGCTTGCATCGCCCAAACCTTGCAAACCCAGAGCTCCTATTCACCGAGGGGCTGAAGAAAAGCCATTCAGACTAAGCCATGATGTCAGGAAGAGCAGACTCCTGTTGAAATATCAGAGAACTGCACACGCTGAGCTGCCTAAGAACAAATCCAGGGTTGGGTTTGCAGGATGTCTGCTTTGTGCTGGTGATTTCCTTTGCTTTAGGGCTCATTCCTCCCCTCAAATCCTCTAACAGCCTCCAGACTCATTAATGACATAATCCTAGAAGTATCTCGCTTGGTCTCCCCATTCAGAAGAATCCAAGACAGAGCATTAAAAACTTATTGAATAAAGAAGCCAGGAAAATACTCCAGGTCTCCTGGCTCCTGTACATCAGGCCATAACAACGGGATGGAGAGTCCTTAAGTTGTAATTTAAGGCTTTGGGGCATGCTCCTGCAAGCTGCTGACTCAGCCCTTTGCAGGGCTCTGGTCTGAAGTCTCCAAATGATGGACACACACAGAAGCGTGCAGCAATCTCATTTCAAAATTACGTTGAGCTTTTGCTTCTTCAGAGAATTCGCCAGGTGAAACTAATAGGCTATTCATCCCCCCACATCAAAGCCCATCCGAGCTGCTAGAATCCCTTTTTCATTTCACCAAATCAGCAGACCAATAGATCAGCTCTGACAGAGCCAGCAACAAACCAGCTTCCCCTCTCCCCTCTGATCCAGCAACAAAAGGAAAGTCTCGAGTGGCTGATTTGGGACTGCAGACCCAGCAATGCTCTGATTTGCATGGCATGGAGCATCCATCAGGAGGAGGGGACAACTACACCCTGACCACAGCTTGGGGATGTGGCCAGGAGCACTGCACACTGATATCTGGCCACCTGAAATGCTGCTCCCTGCATTTCCAATTCCATACGTCAGTCACACATCCCATAGCAAGCATGGTGATAGGGCAGCAATGGGATTTCCCATTGGGGAAGCAGTTCTCCAGCCAACAGCCAGCTCGCATCGGCCTCTCCAGTCCTATTAAAGTGAATGGAAATGTCACCACCCACTTCCATAGGAGCTGAGATGCATTATCCCGTTGTTCCAAGGGACAGATTGACTGGGATGGCCAGAAAATCATTGCCACTGTTAACCCCTGTCCCATCATTCAGGCTGACTTTGGTGTAACTTGCCCTAAAGCAAAGCAGAACAACATAGGGAAACTGGCATACGGTATCCTGTGATGATGGGATGGCCTCCTTGGAGATGAGATGCCACTCTGCTAGGAAAGTCTGAGCAGAAAGACACTTCTAATAGGGGTAGCATAGGGCAATCCAAAAAGCACACTGAGACTGGAAGTTGAACGAACCACTGGAGACATCCCAACTGTAAGCTACAGTATTTTTAGGAAGAATGCCATATAGGATTCAAGGCAGAGCCTAGACAAGGATAACAGAGATCAACCCAAGGTAACATTTTGTGCTTTACAAACCCAGTTTCCACCTGCCAGAAGGATGAAAGAGTCCCAGCTTTTGGGGAAATTCTTTCTTTTCCTTCTCTTTCCCCTTTGCCTGGTGTCATAAAGCCAAGGTGAACAGAGATGGGAATCACAGCAACTCTCAAAAAGCATTGCAGTGTGCACAAAGTGCTTTGCAAACCTGCTGATGGCGATCTGCTGGATGAGCCCAGCCACTGAAGCTGCCATCTCTGAGAAAGGACATCTTTGTGTTTCTAAGCAACGCCAGTGGTGTTAGGAAACAGATCAGGAGAAGAAAGGATGAAAGGTTAAAATGAATATAGAAGACCAATGTAAAAAAAAGAGAAGGAATTAGTGGCAAAGTCAATGATGTTCGGGGTCAACCTATTGAACAAACTACAGAGAACATCACTAAGCACTTGTAGGTCCCTGCTTAACTTACAAAAGGACAGAACTGCCAGCAGAATGCATGGCTGCCCTACTAAAAGAGACCAAGACTTTGTCCCCTCCTGTACCACCAGCACACCTTCAGTCTTTACACAAAGGTAAATATGTGGTTTCCCCCTGCGTGCTCTGCATTACAGCAGCTCATCAAACATCTCATTTTATGTCTTCTAACTGCTCTCCACTTCCAACCCAGGAAATTCTACCCCCAATGTGTGGTTCAATGCAGATGAAATGAAACTGGCAAGCAGCAGCCCTACAGCAAATTATTTGCAGCCCCTGTTCAGCGCCGGTCTGAAAGCAGTGCAGCGTCGTAGTTATGAGCTGATGAGAGATGCTAACCAGGTTTCCTACTATTGTTCCCAGACAGATAAAGTGGGGTCTTTCTGCATAGCATGCTACCTTGTATTTGGTCTTAAACCTCTCTCACCCTCCCACAGTAATGTCCTCCTAATTTAAAGAACAGAAATTTACCTAAAAGAAGGCAGAGTCATTCCAGAAACAGTCCCACGTTTCTCTGCTGCAACTTTTCAGGTGGATACCACTGCAAACTTTGTGATAAAACAGCCTAATGAACAAAAGCTGCCAGTAGGATGCTTTGCAAATGGCTGTAGACCCCAAGCACGACAACAGCAAAGTTTCTTATCTATGGATGTATCTGTTCTACGCCTTCTGCCAATAGGAAACATCTGCACCAAAGCTTTTTCCACTGAAAGCACAGTATTCAAAGAGGAGAATTCAAACTGCTCGTAGCTGGCTACATGTCGATGGCATGCACTGCAGCTTTCTCCTTAAAATCAAGCAGATTGTGATCACCTCAGAGGATACACGTTGCCTCGTCTTGCAGGCAGTTTGCAGCATGACTTTTTTTTGCTTCATTAGTGCGCGCCTGTGTGCAAGCAAAGGGGAGAATAACTCGCTCACAACATCTTTGCAAAGTGACGCCGTGCCTCTGTCATCCCTCCCTAACCAAGACTCAGGAGAGAGGAATTAGTGGAATCAGATGCCTTACTGCCAGCTCGTTAAGGCTAAACGTTGCACACAGTGATGGGAGAGAAGGAAAACAAAGAGGAAAAAAAAAAGTAGAGGAGAAGTCAAACTTTCAGCACGAGAGGAAAGGTTAGAAAGGTTTAAGTCATCAGCTCCTTCCTCCCCAGAGAGAACGGGCGACAGCACTGCGTTACCTTGGGGTTAGTGGTAGGTTGTGCTGGGGGTGACCTCGGTGCTGAAGTTCTCCCTTTGGGGCTGAGCTGTCCGAATGGTCCCCTCCGCGCTGGGAAATGTCCCGCAGCCAGAGGAATACGCTGCAAGGAGCTGCTGCTTCCTGGCAAATTTCACTGGAGTTCGCCAAGCAAACCCCTCCCAAGACCCAACCCCTTCAGCCTCTGCTCATAGCGGGTGATATCATGGGTTGTCCTGTAATCTGAGCGTTGCAAACAGGAGGGAAACGAGGGGGAAATCCAGGCAGGATCGCAGGGAAGGAGGTGGGATAGGAATCTGAACGGGACATCCTTCAGAACCAACCAGATCCGCACCAAGAGTTACCCCAGACCCCTCAGTGTCCTGATACTAAAGGCAATTCTCCATTCATAAACAAAGCAAAACATTCTTCTAATTGTAAAAACAATAAGAAAAACAGCGCTCTGCAAATCTGCTTGAGAGAACACCTTGAAATTACATTTTCTGACCCAAGTGCATTCTCAAACATCAGCATTTCCCAACGAATGAAAATGTATTTTCTCCCCAGCTTCAGCCATGTATATTTGAACCCCTGCTTAATGGGATTTCCAAACAAGTCAGCAGAAAGCTGATAGGCACAAAGGTATTCACAAAAGCCGACTTTAGGAGGAATGCCTCCTTTTAGTTCAGTATATCCCATGATGAAATTTAAAATTCTTTAAAAGACTTTCTAGCAAACCCTTTATTTTGAAAAATGAAAGTGCTTTATCTCCATTTTTTGCTATATACCCAATGGTTTAACACCAAACGCTATGAGGACACATCTGCCATCAGACTTACCCTTTTCCCAGGTTTCCCCATCACGTCCTAAACACCATTTACCCTTCCTGCTCAGAGCACAGCCCCATTTCTTATCCTAATCTGCATTAGCCCTCATAGCCAGCTGCTCAGGCACGGATGTGCAGAGCTCCCCACTCTCTGATGCCACTATTTATTGGGAAAGGATATCCCAGCAAGTTGGCCACCAGCATTGGAGGAACCTGCAACATGCTGGGAAGAGAAAAGAATCACATCATAGATTATCCCCAGTTGGAAGGAACCCGTAAGGGTCATTGAGACCAACTCCTGGAAGCGGGACTGGAAGTGTATTGCAGCAACGTAGAATTTAAGCAAGGGCATAGGCAGCATGGAATAAATTGACAACACTGGAGAAGCTCCACCTTGCTTTGAGGAGAATCCCTCCTGCTCCCTGTTTTGTCAGCTCTTTGTGGAATGGATCGGTCCATAACTGAGGGTTCCTATAATCACAGCATGGCTTGGCTTGGAAGGGACCTCAAAGACTCAACCCAATACAAGAACGGCCCCATTACTTACTGGTACAGCAGGCTCTGAGATGATACCCACCAAGAAAAATTGACAACGTGGGCAAGGAGATGCCAATCACATTCCTATGAGTTGGCAGGGCAGCCCTCCAATGTCAGTCACACTGTTAATATTAAGGAGTTGGAGCTGATCTCCAAAGGTCCAGTGCAACTCCTATAACTCTACCACTATGAAGAGGATAATTGGCTTCTTGGTACAACTCATGGAGAATATCAAGATGTCAAGTTAGGAAACCACTCAGAGCTTTGCTCTTCTACCCAGGAAAGCCAACAGCAGCTGTCGATGGGAGCAATCCATAATGCATTTGTTTTCCTGCAGCAAAAATGCTGCAAATTTCCATCAGCAGAGCATCACCTGATGGGTCAAAACCCAGAGACACCAGGAGCAAAATGCTTCATGGCAGAAGCTGCACCAAACAGAGCTGTTTCGGAGCAGCAAGAAGCTGAAAGAAGTTCGGTCAGAGGAAGGAATGTGTGAGCGCCTGCTGATCAGGGCATGGAGAAACATGACAGCCTGCAGGAGGAATGCTCTCTGGATGCCCGGGTCGGGTAAGGATACAAGCAGCAAATGCCATGCAGGCTTCCAGCTGATGGAAGTGCCTGTGGGTTGCATAAAGCGAAGCGTTCGGCAGGAATTCAGCAAAGCTCTTGAGCTGGATTCAGGGAAATCTGCTGCCCCCTTCATACTGCAGCAGGTTAAGACTACAAGAAGAGCACCCAGCAAAAAGCTAAGAAACAAAATAGGAAACCTCTCAAAAATCACAGCCTATGGGTGTAAATGCTGCTTCGACTGGGTTTGCATCATCTGATCACATAAACAGAAAATGAAGGAAACTGTTTAGGCTTTCCTAAATTGGAAGGGACACACGAGGATCAGCAATTTTAAATCCTGGCTCTGTCTTAGTGAAGAACCTCTTCCTAATATCCAAGCACAACAAATTTAAGGGCCACATCCTCAGCCTCAGCACTTCCTTCTGTATCTGACGGCAGTGCACACCTTGCCCTAAGGACAAGTCAAGGCTGGATTTGACCAAGCACTCACAGTCATGGTCCATGCTTCCAAAAAATTAGGCATGCGCTATTAGGTTCTATAATGTCCCCTAATTGTTAGTTCTTTTTAAAAGAAAAGGCTCATTACCTCCACAAGCCTCATGCTTTCACCCTGTAGACTCTCTGGAGCCATTGGTCCAAATCTCACCAAGGTCAACTCAACCTGCTAAACACACAGTGATATTTGGGGAACCGAAGGACTCGATGCTCTGCGAGGTGTTAACGACACGTGGCAGCTCTCACACCCATTGGTCCTGCTGGAATATTGCTGCCACGTGTAATTGGAGAGCAAAGCTCTGCTTTTGCACTCACCAGATGGATGACAAACACCAGCGGCTGTAGAGAAGTGGCACTGTGCACCTCACAGTGAGGAATAAACCAGTGTATTTTATGTAATGTTTAACTCCTAGTGGAATTTCCATGATTTCCCCATAAAACAACAGTTGTATTGATGTAGCAAGCACAGCAGCTCAGAAATGACACTGTAGCTCAATGCTTACAAGACAGCTGCTGTTCCCACGCAGTTGGAACAACAGAGCATCACATCCACAGAGAAAGCACATGCATCTTCCTTGCATTTCTATCCTTCACCTTTCAAGAAAGGTGTGGGGAGTGAAATCAGTTGACACTGAAATTCCCAACTGGAATGCAAGTTACTGGTTTTCTTAGGCCAAGGAAGAACCCAGCACAAGGCACTTGGCAAGCACTTTTCATTCTCCTGATTGACCTTAATTGCTTTTGAGCACTGATTTGAGGATACAGCTGCTGAAACCCAGCTTTCCTCCAAGCAAAATCCTTCCCCAATACGTGCAGGTTCTCGACATCTCTGCGCTACTCAGCCATCCAGGAGGAGATGGGTATAAAGAGTTGTCACTAAAAGAACATAAAACAAGTATGAGAAGTTGACTCAAGGCAGTGACAGCGTGGTGGGAAAGCAGCAAGAGCTGAACCCACACGTGCAGCAAAATGACAACTGCAAAACAAACCCAGGAAGGTGGGATGCACTTTGTCATCTTACCCTGGGGGAAGGCAGAGGTCCTCGAGCTTACCATCCCTTCCCACTAGATGGCAAGAGTCCCCCTTCTAACAGCAGAGCACACATTTCTGTGCATAGAGGTCAAGGGCCATGGAAGGGATTGCTGGCCCCAAGGAGCCCTGAACAGGCAGAACTCATCTGCCATCCTCCTGGCTGAAGGATTCATTTAGTTGTGACTGAGAATGCTACATCCAGAAGGGAAGAGGAACTGAAATGAACAGAATAAGGCTGTTAAGAGAGCACAAAAGGCAAGGATGCTCAAGAACGCCACGTACTGGTCTCCACTATCCCTGTGTAAATGCAGCAGCTCCCTCCTCATCCTTAAAAAGCATCCCATAGATCTTCAAACTCAGGTTAGAAAGTCATTGTTGTCCTCCCATTCTTAAAAGAGAGTGACCTGAAAAACAGCTATAAGGACCCAGTCTCCTGAATGCTACACACACAGAAGCTAATGCCCAGGGAGAGGGACACAGCAAAGCCCTCACAAGGCTCATTTCAGCTTTCAATGAGCTTCATGCGTTATTTGGTAGCAACAATGGCAGAAACAATGGGAGAAGAACAAGGTGCCCGTGATCAGGCGTGCCATCGAGTCACTGCTGTTGACTGTCCCTTTTGCAGAGTGCTGCAGAGGCACAGAAAACCCTTTTGTTTCCACATTGGAGGAGCTGTGGGCCTCTTCTCCTCCTTACCCCAGGCTCTCCATCTCTCTTTCATGGCTGTACTTTTGTCTCCAAAACACTTCTTCCATTAGGGGCCACCTTTGGCCCTGTTTGGATAGATTCCATACATGAAAAACACAGCAACAAGATGATGAGTGATGCATTTAAGAGGAAAACCTGCAGCATCACGCTCCTGCCCATTCCAGGTCACTGGGGAAGGTCAAAGAGCAGCGCCCTTGCTTCTCCCCTGTGCTTTCCTGCATTCTTACCAGCCCTAAATGCACCTGGAGAAAGGACAAGGTGAATGGGAGAAGCAGGAGAAAGAAAGCATGTTAATGCAGAAACAGACACAAACAGATAAACATTACCATCGTGCATGGAAACCTGAGCCCAGGAACAGGTATTGAGTGAAAACAGGTATTTCTAAGGCTCTTAAAGGAATCATGTTTCCTCCCATGCTTGTTGCTTAATGTAGTTTCTTTGGAGCAAGCTTGGCCAAGAGCAGGATGGGAAGGATTCCTCTTTTTTCTGAAGTAGTTTGGAGCTGCAGAATAAAGTGGTTTTAGTCGATCTGCATCTCCTCCCCTGTGCTTGCTGGGCTTTAAGCTCTGAAACAATTAAAAGCACCCCTACAACTGCCTGGATATCAGCATATCACACTGATATTTCCTCCCCACCTTAACGTTAACCCTTTCACACTGATCCTTGTCCAAATGGGCACTACATTATCTGAGCGTGCAATTAGGAGCTCTGTGCTCAGTTTTGGGCATCTCAGAAGTAGGAAGCACAGGCTCTGTAACAAGCAGCAGCATCAGTTTTCTGATAAGAATTATCAGCCTGAGTGGAAAAAAAATTTGTATCACAGCTTCAGATGTCAGAACTGAGAGGTGAATGCAGCTCCACCCTACAGTTTTTGCAGTCAAGGCACCAAAAGGAAACTAACACAATTCAAATTGAGATGTTTAGAGGAAGAAACTGCACCTTAAGCATAACAAAATGGAA